TCTCAGAACAGACAAGATCAGGGCACCCAGGTGGCTCAGTCAGTTAAGAGTCTGACTCTTGGTTTCGGTTCAGGTCATGATCTCAGGGTCATGGGATTGAGCCCCACGTCAGGCTCCATGCTCAGCGGGGAGTCTGCTTGAAATTCTCCCTCTCCCTCTCTCCCTCCTCCACTTACTCATGCATGTGTGCTCTAATAAAAAAAAAAAAAAAAGAGAGAGAGAGAATGGACATGATCAAAGGCAGATTGAAACCCTTCCAGTCCCGATAAACTAATGCTAAAGGCATCTCAGAAAAAAATGTAGAACAACCTCCAAGGGAAATACTGGATGGCTGGGATAAAAACACTCCTCTCCAGCAAAACCTAAGCCTCTTTCCCCAGAAGACGAGGAACAAAAACCATGGGGAACTGAAACGCCTCCCCCGCCCCAAAAAAAGGCTTGAAAGTATTACACATGAAGGACACAGGCTGTACATGATAAAGAAGCCCATAAATTCTCTGACTGAAACTGTGCCGAAGGTGATCAGTTTACCTGCTCTCTTTAGAGAAAATCCCCCAGATGACCCAGGGGTCCAAAGGAAAGGAGGACACTTATGCCACGAATTCACAGGGACCCAAGGTCACACACAAGTCTCTTTCAGATGTCACTGCAGTCGACCCCTGAACAGCCACACCCCTGGCAGGACATCTGGTTTTTTTTCAACAGTAATTTAGATTTCGAGTATGCAATACATAACTACCAATCATCACCACCGTGCCGTACGTTAGGTCTCCAGATTCAGCTTAGAAATTGAAAGACTATGTCTTTTGTCCAACTCTCCCTTTTCCCCTCAACCCAGCCTCTGATAAACTCAACTGCGTCCTGTGTTACTGTAGGTTTGATTTTTTTTTTTTTTTTTAGATTCCGTTTTGTGAGGTCATGCAGTACTTGTCTGTGTCTGGTTCGTTTCACATACTATAGTGTCCCCAGTTCAAGCCCTATTCCTTTTGTGAAAAATCAACCAAATAAGAAAATAAAAAATAATGAATAATGTCCTCCAGTGTCATCCATGTTGTTGCAAATAGGATTTCTTTCTCACAGCTGAGTAATATCCCAATATATCTAAGGATATATAGATTATATAATATAGAATCACACTTTCTTTATTCATCTGTCAATTTGCTTAGAGAGTAGATCTCAAGTGTTATCACCCCCCAAAAATAAGTGAAGTGATGGATATATTCATTAACTTGATTGTGGTAATCATTTCACGATGTATATTAAATTATCATGTTGTATACTTTAAATATATGCAAGTTTCATTTGTCAATCAGAGTAAAGCTGGAAAAAAAAACACAAAAAAAGGCAATTTCGATTTACCTCTAATGAACACTTTAGTTGCTGCTATTTTTTTTGTTTGCTCTTATTGATGTTTGAGACAATTATAACTCCTGAGAGCATTTTTAAATATAGATGGGTTTAACTTAATTATGATACAGTATTTCTATTTCATCGGATCCCCTAGAATGGAAGGAGGTCAATATTGCACTTATACTATTATTTAAACCATCATTGACAGTTTACAAAACCAGGCAGGCTATGGGGGGGGAGGGGCAAGACTATGTCAATATATTATTAGAAATTGGTAAAAGTAGCTTAATATTTACCTCAAACTTATTGGTATTATTAGTTTTAACAAAATGAAAAACCTAAACACATCACAGTTAAACCTATCAGTATTTTTATCAGTTCTAAATTCATAGCTTAAGGGGCTTGCAAGTTACAACCATTTGTTTCTTATTTTGTAATTTTCTGAAATTTGTAATTTCAGATTTGTTCATGTATTCAATACTTAAATGTCCTTAGATTTTATTCAGTTAAATTTTTGCCTGGGTGGCTTAGCCGTTAAGCGTCTGCCTTCAGCTCAGGTCATGATCCCAGGGAGCCGGGATGGAGCTGAGACCAGTGTCGGCTCCTGACTCAGCAGGGAGTCGGCTTGTCCCTCTCCCCCTGCCCCTTCCCCCACTTGTGCTGTCTCTGTCTCAAATGAATAAAAACCTTTTAAAAAAATTCTTTTTTCCCCCTTTAAAAAACAATAAAGGGGCAGAGACCCAGTTCTAGAATAGTAGCCCGAGAGGTTCCTCCATCTACTCCCCTGTGAGACTACCATCACTGGTAAAAAAAAAAAAAAAAAATTAATTAATTAATTAATTAAACAACAAAAACCCTCATTTAAAGCCCCAGGAAATTGTCCAGAGGACATACAACAAATGAAGAAACATTCAAGAAAATCTACTAAAATCTCAGACTTAAGCCATACCCACTCCTCCCTTCTCGCTGGTTCAGCAGGAGGACAGCTCCCCTCTCCCTGAGCGGGTAGCCAGGGTCACAGGCATCACTGTCCCCCAGCTCCCAGTCAAGGGCTGGGGCATCTCCCCGGGAGCGGCAGGCTGCTAGCATTTCTCCCATCCCTACCTCTGTGTCACAGAGAAGAACGGTACAGCCCGGGTCCCCTTGGCCCGGGCTTGCTCCTCGGGCGATGGGGGCGGGGGGGCAGGCGGCAGGGGTGAGAGAAGCAAGCTGAAAAGGCCGGAGGGACTGCCCCACCCCCTCCAAGCTCCAGAAAAAGCCGGCCGCTACCTCAAATATTTCACCCCCGGAGGAGAGGCCTGCCCTGCGAACTGAGAGCTCTGGAGTTCTCCCCAAGGACACTGATGTCCTTGGAACAGAGTGTGGGGCAGCTCACGCCCCAGAGTGCTGGCAAACCCAGTGGCGATCCGGGTGATCCGCAATGAAAAGGAGGCTAGGAACCTGATTAGAGCAACAAGCTCAGTCAGAGACCAGCTGTGTTACCGGAGAAAGCCGGTAAAAGGGACCGCTAGAAAGAGCCTCTAGCGTGTAAAAATAGTAACAACAATTACACTTCCAGTTAAAAATGGCAAACTGGGCACTTTTAATTTTGTTCCTTCTCAAAAACCCACTAAAATCATCATTTCTGTTTAAGATAAAGCTGCACAGATGAAAACAGCAGAGGAGACTTTTGGGGAAGCTATAAAGAACAGCTTTATACTCGCAAAAAACAACACGAAGGCCAGACGGAATGGAATAAGGCTTTCAAAATTATCAATGCAAGTTACTTTCACCTAAAACTCTATACTCGATCAACCTTCGATTGATCAAGCTTAAGGGCAGAATAAAGACTAAATCCGTAAAGGCCTTTGATAATGGCAATAAGAGATCCCGAGTCTGAAAGAGGCAAAGGGAAGCCCCAGAATGGTGGGGAGGAACCTTCCAGAAGGCAGCAGGTCCGAGGGCACTGGCGGAGCCTTTCTCAGGGAGAGGTCAAGTACCGTGCATACACATTTCTTGAAAAAAGATTTCAGATTTGCGGGTTGGACTGGTGTTAAGCACACAGGAATCCAAGCAAACAAAGAATTAAGGCAATTATTATCTCCAGGGAAGATTAACAGTTTTGCAGGGAAGGAAAAAAAAATCAGTTTTCTACACAGCTCCACTACTGTGTGTGGTATTTACATGTTACAATATCGCAGACACTGAATATTGATTTAAACAAAACCAGTTTGGACGGAGGGGGAGGAAAAGACTCATGCTTGAGGAACACAGTCAGGGAGAAGAAAGCTAAATCTTCATCTGTTACAGTTGCCCAATCAACAGATTAGGCCCGAAGCTGAAAACCCAGAAAGTACCGATACACACGGGTTATTGTGAGAACTGAGGTGGAATACCCTAAGAATCCGCCTGACAGGTGAAAGCACTTGCCTCTGGAGAAGGTGGGAGAATGTGGGGTTGCTGCTTTTCATAAAGAACTCTAAACTGTTTGACACTTTTTGAGACTACTGGGCATTGTAACCTCAGACGAATTTTTAAATATATATATCTCTGTCTCTTGAATACCATATCACTGTACTCACCAGTGTTCAATTTTCAGAGGATCTATTTTATATTCGTACCAGAAAGTTAATTTGGTCTCTGCCTTGAAGGCATTGTCAGGAAGGTTACGCTAAATATTTAGAAATTCTGCTTTGAATCAAAACACCTGCCCTCACTGTGTGCCCAGTACTCAGCACTCAGTGCTAAGCACTCTCACACCTTATCTCCAATTTCCACAACAACCATGTCAAGCAGGAAGGTTTCCATTTCACCGATAAGAAACCGATGCTGGTGCTCAACTTTGTTAAATAATTTGCTAACCTGCAGCAGAGAGCCCTGACCCCAGAGCCCCTCTTCTTCCAATCAGACCTCAATTTCTAGGATTTCAGTTTAAAAGAACTACAAATAAATAAGATCCTTAAAATAAAATAAAATATAAAAGAGGTGCCTGGTTGGCTCAGTCGTTGAGGGTCTGCTTTCGGCTCAGGTCCGGATCCCAGGGTCCTGGAATCGAGCCCCGCATCGGGCTCCCTGCTCCGCGGGAAGCCTGCTTCTCCCTCTCCCGCTCCCCATGCTTGTGTTCCCTCTCTTGCTATGTCTCTCTGTCAAATAAATAAATAAAATCTTAAAAATAAAATAAAAGAACTACAAAGGGGCGGGGAGTGAGGCATTTCAAAGAACTCCCCCTGCGGGAAGGGCAGGGGGAGGGGAAAGGATTCCAGTATTCGTAGGGTAGCTGTCTACTGACTTACACGAGCTTTGCTCCAAATTGGAATGCCCAGCTGGTCATGTGAGCCAAGAAAGCAATTTTTTAAACTCTGGCTAGGAGCCCCGGTGATTACAAAATAAAAGCTTCGTCCTGCTCTTATTTTGAAGGAAGAGACGTTCCGGGGGCCCAAACATCCTGGTGGAACCCCGAAGAACACCAAGGTTTGGGTCCCGGGAAGCCCAGCCATCCCACAGAGGCGGTTTGGGAAAAGAAAGGGGCAGACAGACGGTGGGACTGGGCCCGGGGTCTTAGACCGGCGGACGGGGACGGTCCCTTGCGAATAAAACCCTAGGTCGTGTTTACGCGGCGTCTAAACGCTGGGCCCTTCGCCGTGCGGGATCCGGGTGCGCTGCCCACTCACCTGGCTCTTGCCGTCCCTCGGCTCGCGGGCTCTAGTGTGGGGACAGGACGCGAGCTGCTGAACCGCCACGTTGTTTACCTCCCTTTTTTCCGAAAAGTCACGGGCCACCGGGGAGTGAAGAAATGAAAGTGAAATCAGCTGCTGGGGCACCAGTCCGCATCAGGGGCCCGGCTTCCAGAGCGCTGTTGGCTTGGGCACGAGCGCCAACGCAAGCAGGGCCGCCGCCCCGCCCCGCGTCGGTCCGCTCGGCCCCGCTGCCCCCCGCGACCCCCCGCTGCCCCGGCCCCTCTCCGGAGCCCGCGCGGGACCCGCCTGCCTGCGAGGCTCGCCGCGGGGTCCGCCTCTTCTGCGGTAAGTACCCGCCCGCACGCGACCCAGCTGGCCCCCGCTAGCCTCAGGCCCGCGCACGCCTCCCACGTTCCGGCACCGAGCCCGGGCCCGCACCTGGCCCCCCGCCCCAGGACCTGCGCTGCCCTGCCCGCTCGGCCCTCCTTCCCGCAGCTCCCCCCAGCACCAACGTGGGCGCCCCCGGCCCCCAAGACGGTGCGGGCGTCGCCAGTGTCCCCCGGGAGAGCCACGCCGGGACAAGTGTGGCCGCCAGGGGCTCGCCCCAAGTCCGTACAAATCCGTGTGTGGGGCCTGCGGGGTGGGCTGCTGCGCAGAAACGGGCAGCCAGGCGGGAGCAGATCCGCGACTCACAGGAGCTAAACTAGTCCTCAAAGTTACAAAACCACACTTAAAATCCTTAAAACACACCGCGGGTTAAGATTGTCAGAAAGACCTGTGTTCTTGACTCGGGCTATTACAGGGTCTAAGATTTTTCGGACCCTCTGTTATTAGACTGCATTGCTTCTCATGACCCGATGGGATATTGGTGCTGCTGGTGCTTATCTTAAAATACTTTACTATGGACTGTTCCTTAATAACTTCTGTTACACTTCTTCACCTGTAAAACCAAAGGCTCCTTTGGGAAAGACACACACACACACACACACACACACACAATTCCTTCTTTCCTTCTTTCCTCCTGACAACTAGTGTGCATTTTTCAGTACCTTCTCCCTACACCCCCTCCCTCCCCAAGCCCCAGACCTGAGACTTAGTTCCCAAGACTGTGGATTTTGTACATATTCCCCTTTCTCCGTGTTCTTTCCAGCCAACGCCTGCCTTATCTCACCTAATCCTGAAGAGTGTTTATGTTTGTTTTCTGCATTTCAGTTTTACATAAATACAACACCTAAATCTGGGATATTTTTAATGCAAAAAGAGAACAGTTGTCCATAAGGCTGCCACCACCCACAGGTAGCTACCATGGCTAACGTTAACATTTTAGAATGTTTCCTTAGTCTCTGTCTTGTAGTCATAACTATAGAGTGTGATTTTAGACGTGACTTTTCTAAAGTCTGCAGAGTTTCACTGCCTTGATGTGTCTTAATTTAATTCCACTGGTGGGCATTCGAGTTCCTTCCCATTTTTTGCCAAATACTGCGATGAACATTCCTGTATATAAATCGTTGATTGCGTTTCTGATTGCTGCCTTAGGATAAACTCCTAAGTGGAGTTACTAGGCCAGAAAGAATGGTTTTTAGGGGTTTCAGTGCATATTGCCAAATTGCCTCCTAGAAAGTCTGCACGGATGTTTAACCATTTCCACCATCACTGCATGAACATGCCCGCTTTGCCATGCCTTCTGTGACAACCAACGTTTTCATCTGCGGTTTTGATAGGGAAACTCCTAGGTTATTTGACTTGGCATATCTTTGCTTGCATTACAAAAGGTATAGACTTTTTTTCATGTTAGTTAATGAGATACCGCGATTTACATAAGAAGAATATATATTTGGTCTTTATTCCCCTTCTTGGCACAGAGCTCTTAAAACCCTTGGAATTTCCTAAGTGATAATAGAGATAAGGGTGTCTTCTTTATTCGCTAGGAAGCTCCTTTCAAGCACATCTGGGTTTATGTTAATGAGCTGACTTCTGGCAAATCTCTATAGATGGGGTTTGGTTGTCAGGGGAAGCAACCCTGGGATTAGAGGGGAACTTTTAGCCCCAGCCCACAACCTCCAGGGAGGCCGACTGGCTGGAGATTCAATCACCCACACCCAGTGCCCAGTGATGTTATCCATCGGTCCCAGTAATGAAGCCTCCTCTGGAGCGGGGAGTGGGGGCGGAGGCCGCTTATGGGACCGAGCCCTTTGCCTGTGGGACCTGACACTCTCTTCAAGTAGATGGTGTCAGAATTGAGTTAAATAGGACACCAGCTGGTGTCACAGAGAATTGCTTGGTGGAGGGAAACTCCCACACATTTGGTGGAGAGTATAAAGCTACAGTGACCTATTTGGCAGTCCTTCTCTTCTGAAATGTCCTCATATTCTTTGTCCCTTCTTAGAGGGGTTGTTTTTCTTACCTATTTGTATGAACATTTGGTATATTAGTAATATTACTCATTTCATATTTATTGCAGATATTTTCCACGCTCATTGACTTGTGATTTTATTATGTTATATGGAAATGTAACTGTCTAAACGGTTAAATCTGTACAATTTTTTTGTGATTTCAATTTGCTTTTAGGTTCAAAGTGTTCTTTCTCAGTCGTAAATCAAATCTTCACTTTTTTCTAGGTCTTTTCTTTTTTTCTCCTCTATTCGTTACATGTCACGTTTGGATCCATGTGAACTTTATTTTGATATGTGGCGAGAGACAAGGACTTAAACCAGTTTTGTCTGGTTTTCAGTTAGCTCATCAACCGCTCCAGCGCTAGTTAATGGAAAACCTCCCACTGAACTGTAATGCCACTTTTATCACATATTAACTTCCTACATGTCTTTTTTTTTTTTAAAGATTTTATTTATTTATACATGAGAGACAGAGGAGGAGAGAGAGAGAGAGAAGCAGGCTCCCAAGGAGCGGGGAACCGGATGCGGGTCTCGATCCCAGGACTCTGGGATCATGACCTGAGCCGAAGGCAGACGCTTAACCATCTGAGCCACCCAGGCGCCCTCTACATGTGTCTTTTCTGAGATACTCCACTCTTGAGCCTTCCAGCCCAGTACCCCCGGGGGCCTACCGCCGGCGGGGGGGTTGGGGCCCAATTTCCCCCGTTATTTCTAGGAATCTACCTGGGAACTGGATCCTGCGATTATTTCAGTGGCTCTAGACTCAGAATGGTACATCTTCAAGTGATTTAATAAGTACCTGCAAATTTAATCTTGGAATACACGGGCAGTGTGTTCTCATTAGCAACTGAGCTTCCTCAGAGCTTGGCACCCCGGGCTCACACCACCTCAGCGTCCTCAGCCCTGTCAAATGACAAAATGAAAACAATTCAGGCAGGAGTTTACCCTTCCTTGATTTGAGGGACAAGCCGTGGACTGGGGGAGGACAGCGCCTCCCAAGCATGGAGCACCGGGGTGGGACTTGGGGCAAGAGCCCGTGGTGGAGCGAAGCCGAAGTGTGGAAACCAGGGGGCATGACTGGCTAGGAGGCCCTGCTCTGTGGGGTAAGGCGAGCTAGCGGAAGCGGGGTTGGAGGGTTGTGCTCCGTGTGCGTTAGGTGTCCTCGATGGCTGACTTAGGCTGAGAACTGCCACCTGGGCTGGGCCCTGCTGCGGCCTCCACGTTGTGGTCCAGGCACACGAAGAATTCAGTGTGTCAGCCCCAACCTAGACATCAACAGACTTTGGGAGGGGATCCTGAGACGCCCAGCGCTTTTGTGAGGGGAGCTAGCTTCTGTCAGCCTCTGCCCTCTCCTCAGGCCACCAGCCCACCCCAGCCCTGAGACTGACCAGGCCAGGACCGGCTTTCGCAGGTTCCCCAAATACTGGCCCTGCAGGCTGGGGGGGGGGGGGGGAAGCCCCAGGGCGTCTGCTACTCAACTTGGTGGTGAGTTGCTTTCTCTGAGTTATTTTGTGTCTTGAAGCCCTTTCAGATGCATTACAAACTCGCCAGGGAAGAACCCTCCCCTCCCATGTGAGGATGGAGGTCAAGTTCCTGGGAAACTTACCCCTGTTTCCAGCCAACTCTCTAAAGACCTCTTGAAAAAGTTAAGGTCTAGGTGTTCGTGACTGTCGATTATTCTCGAAGTCCTCCTCTTCTTGGGTGTAACAACATTCAAGTAGGTCTCGGTGCGTCCCGCAGGGCTACCTGGCAGGAAGCGTGTGAAGTAGCCCCTGGACTTGGCTCCGTCTGTCCCAAATCACAGGGCCGCCTAGTTCCTTGTGTTTGGGGGAATAGGGACATGAGTTAAGGGAACACTCGGTTAGAAGGCTATAATCCACACCTGTCACCCTGGCCTACGAGGCCCTCCGGGACCGGGGACTACTCGCCGGTCCGGACTGGTCTAGTCCCCTCTCCTCAGTCACGGGGCTGCCGCCACCCCGGGCCCTGGAAATCTGTTTGTCTCCCAACCAAGCGTTCAAAACTACTGCACTCGCTCCCGGGAAGGCTTTTCCCCTGGCCCAGCTCAGCAGGGCTCTTTCACGTCCCTCCGGCCTCAAACCAAATACCTCCTCCCCACGCAGGCCTTCCCTGACCCACTGATCGAGACTAATGGCTTCCTCCTGTCACCTTCTCTCCTTTACTTCATCCTGTTTATTTCCTTCCCAAATCTTTTCAAAATTATAATTATCTTTTTAAAAGTATATCGTTGGCGTTGGTCTCCCCAACCTAGAAAGCAAGCTCAGTGAAGCCAGGCCCCTGGTTTGCCCTGAGTGCTACTGATTCCACAGGGCCTGTGACAGAGGGAACCATCCAAAATGGGCCGTTCATGGAGTCACGAGAGGAAACCCTGGCCTCCTCGGTAGGAGGGGGCTGTGGCTCTCTGTCGGGATTGTGGGAGAGGGCCGGGCGGGAGAACCAAGAGCGACAGCCAACGGCAGTCCTAGTTTCTAGTACTACTTGCCTTCAAACTCTGCTTCAGGTCCGGGGAACCTTAACCTTAGCCTCCCATCAACTAGTTGTGGAGTCCCGCCGCGAAACACCAAATGCGGATGGGCCCAAGGTGCAGGCCTGTGCTCATTATGAAGGACCGTTTCTCCCTCTAAATTGTCTTTGACCTTTGCCCCAGCGGGATCATCTGCTTGCAGGGGCTAGTAAGCAACAAAACAGATGAACCAAGAGCCAGTTAACGTCACTGGAACCACTGACACAGCCTACTTGAGTAGCTCGGCCAACGTGGAGGCCTTGAGCCTGATGATTTGGGCCATCCAAGCAGTCTCGGGGTGTGGTCCTGTTTCTGCCGACGAAGCTGCTTTTGTTTACGTGCAGAATTAAGTGCATCAAAATGGCACGTGTTGCATAAAACACCAACTGCGGGGAGACCCGGGCAGATGTCCCCACTGCACACACTTGGGAGGCACCGCTGCGGCCCAGTTTGGAAAAAGAAGAACCTGGGCTCCTATTTCTGCCAAAGGAAATATGACACATTTCCCTTTCTTCTTCCCTTTTGATTTTTGTCAGAGCCACACCCCAACCGTGAACACACTGATCAGAGAGGAGTTAGTCCGGGCCAGCCACCGCCTCTGACAACTAAGCACTCCCCCGGGCTCGTCCCCTGTCAGATGGTCCGTGTGGCTTCATTCCACTGATATTTTCTTCCCTGGCTTCGCTTCGCTCTCCATTCCTGCGGCACTCCCAGCCCTCCTCCCCCCGCCCTCACCTCCCTTTTCTCCCCCGGATCGATCTCCATGGATCGATCGATCGCGGACAATGCTCCACCAGGATTAGCGGAGCTGGTGCAGCAGGCTGTGCGCCAGGCACCAGTCGGTCGGTGTGGACAACTGCCACGCTTCGGTCTCACAACAGCCCCCAGGAACAGGCCTGTGATGTTCCAGACGGGGAGGGACGTGCCCAAACTCTGAGCCCAGAGTTGGGGGGTGGGGGCTGTAAACACAGGGAGGAGTTTGAGCAACTGTGTGCCGTTGCGAACCTTCATTCAGTCATTCACATGTCACTCAATAGACATTGAGTGCCTGCCTTGTGCCTGGTGGCCCTGGGTGTTGGGGCCATAACAGTAAAAGATAGATTTTTTCGTAGATAAACAGCCAGCTAGCTAACCACAGACACATGAATGAGCAGCAAAGTCCTGGCCCTCATGGAGTTTATATCCCACTGGGGGCGAGGGTGGGGGAACAAGAAAAGGTTGAGGATGGGAGATGGTAAAAAGGCTGCCGGGAGAGAGCAGGAAAGGGGCCTGGGGAGCCCCGGCTGCGGCTGCTGGGCTGCGGGGGGGAGGGGGGTGCGGTCGGTCAAGGTGAAGATGCTAATCGGGCAGCCTCCCTGAGAAAGGAACACTGGCGCAGAGAGACCCAAGGGAGACAAGGGAGGGAGACCCGTGACAACAGAAGAGCATTCCAGGCAGAGGAACTGGCAAGTACCCAAGTCCTGACTTGCCTCCAGTTCTTGGAAAATACAGCGGAAGTCACTGTTAGTGGAAGCTGGGGGTTGGGCGGGGAGGGTGGGGAGCAAGGCTAACAGGAGAGGTCCGGTCCTCAAAGGAGCAGGAAGAAGGCCAGGTCATTGTTCATGTTGCACGGGAAAAGAGGGCACCCTTGGTAGCACGTTCCAGAAGACTAAGGCCCTCCAGGGAGAGCACAGGATAGTGTTCCGGGGGGGAGGAAGTCGGAGATCCGGGAGTCCAGTGCCCACACTCCTGGAGGGGCGGCTCTCCGTGGGCCCCCCACGCCCCACCACGGGCCACATTCCAAGGGCTCGCTGAACACCTACTGAGTGGAACAGAATTGCCGCGGGTGGCGGACGAGCGGTCACATGGCATGAAAGACGTGCAGGGGTGCCCTGTGAGGCCCCCTCGGGACGTCGTGAGCAACAGAGGCACGCAGGTGTGAATCGGGTAGATGGTGAGAGACTTAAGCCCCAGCTCCACAGAACGTCTGGGTACTGGGTGACATTAGACGTGCGGGCAGGAAGAACGGATCGAAAAAAACATAGGACGAGGGCGGGTCTTTGTGGTGTTTTTATATAAGACAAAGGAGAGAAGGGAGTTTTGTGGGAATCTCGATTATGGGGCTAAGAGGAAAATGTAACATGGAAAGCCATGAGCAGACAGTGGCAAAGAAGAAAGTGTAAGTAAGTGTAGGATCAACACGGGTATACAACAGAGCTCTACAGTGACTAAGCGGGTGGGTGTTTTAGCCGAGATGGAGACCGGAGCTTCTGACCCTCCTCTGTGAAGGGGAACAAAGGTGCCAGGACAGTTTGTAAAGTTTCTTTTGATTCCATGACTCAGGAGAGGGCACTTCAGGGGTCTTGAGAAGCAAGTGCCAGTGGCAAGAGACGGCGATTCACCAACATCCACCACAGCATTATTTCTAGTCTTACAAAGTAATGTCGAACAACGTAATATATACAGGTGTACTCACGCTATCACGGTGTTTACAAAGCGGGATCCACAGTTATGCGAGCCCAACTGTGTAAAACAGCATATGGAAGGGAATGCGTTGTTAAAGAGTGGTTATTTCTACAGCCCAAAGGTATAGATGATTTTTAGTCGTTCGCATATTTTTCTAGCATTCTACAGTCAGCATCTATTGCTTTGTTGTAAACAGGAAAATGTTCAGCTAAAAAGGGCGACAGTGACTCAGCAGTCTCCCAGGCTACCTCTGAAGGAAGCAAGGCTTATTGTGAAAGGGAATTAAAAAGTTCATGGTGGCAAGAACGTGGTTGCTAGGATTGTTAAAGGCCAAAAAAGCCAGGGGGGCTCCTACGACAGCAGAGGAGGGGAGTGCCATGGGCTTCCCCAGCCAAACACTGCAAGCTTTCACTAGGGAACGTTTAGACAAAGAAGCTAGGACCGGCCTCCAGCCGCTTAGAGCACGAGTCCTGAAGTCCAGCTGTCCTACAGGACACGAGTAGCAGCCAGCCCAGTGCCGTGCGGCCCCACGTCCTGGTCCCAAGTCCGTGTTCTTTCTCTCCCTCCGGGCACTTTCTGTTCTCACAGAACAAACACGGGACGAGGTCAGACACCCCTTCCTTCCAGTCAGCTGTGGGAAAGAGGGAGGGCCCGCTCCTCCCCAGGGGACCCTTCAGACGCTGCCCTCCGGCGCTGACCGGATGTCACTCTAGTTTGTCCCCAGCACCTGGTGTCTTCTAAGGCCTAAGGCCGGCAGCACTGAGTTCCCACGGCTCTGGGCTGTCAACGGCCACTTTATTCCACCCTGGAAGATTTACAAATATAAAGGTATCGTATGCAGACAACTGTTGTAGAGGCCAGTTTGGAGAAGTCCTTCGGAGTAAAAAAAGGAGTGAAAAGATTTTTCAAATACGATGAGGAAGGTGTCTACTACATTACAGGGACTACCATGAAGTTTTCTGCAGGTCAATTGGGCAATATGCAATAAAATCACCAAAAATTTTTTTTACTTTTGACTCTGATTGTGCTCTTAGAGATCTAGCCTAAGGAAAAATCAGAACCGTACAAGCATCTTCCCTGATTGTCACTTATAATGGTGAAAAATGGACACAACTTGTCTGACAGTGTCATGGATAAATCTATGACATGAGCTATTACGCAGCCATTAACCACGTTTTTGAAGACTATCTAACAGCTTCGAGAAAAGGTTCACAATAGTCGGTGAGAAAATCATTGTGATCAACTGTATGATTATTTAAAAATACACCACATATGAAAAAAAATATTGGTAGAAAATTAACAGTGATTCTATGTATGCGGTGGGAGAAGAGGTGATTTTTTTCTATTTTTTCTTTTAAAAATGACTTTCCAAGATTTCTATAATTACTGTTGTCAGGAAAAAAATCGTAGACACTTAAAAAGTAGGGAGTACGACGGTGTGATTTCATTACCAGGTGGCCTCTCGTCTTCACCAAGTCCTGACTCCCAGAGCCAGGCAGCTGAGCTCACAGAGCTCCTCAACCCCAGCTCACATGAGAACGCACCACAGAGCTTCTAGAACAACCAGTGCCTGCCCCCAACCTCAGAAGTTCTGATTTGACTGATCTGGGTCCCACTGATGGTGGTTCTTCCAGCTCCTGGGTGGTGCTGCTGTCGCCCACGGAGCCTTTAGCACCGTCCTCCCCCTCCGGGCCCCCAAGGAGAGGCGTCTCCTTCACCCCCGATGAGCCCACCCTCGTCACGATCTGAGCAACTCCCTCAGATGTTTTCAGTGGCTTGTGGCGTTGAAAGTGCAGCGAAGCCCCTATTGAGAGGGCATCAGTGTGCACGTTTCAGGTACTCCCAGCTGCCCCGCGGGGGGGGGGGGGGGAGGCTTCCCCCTGAACTTGGCCCAGAGAGGCGGCTGAGGACTCACCGAGCAGTTGCTGCCTGGAGGCTCCCTCTAATTTCTGGTTCCCGCTGGGGTTGGGAGGAAGGGTGCCACGGGTGTTTACGGAATTCCAGGAGCCGTGAGGATGCTCACAGATGTGCCTTCCCGCAGGTACCCAGAAGACGGCTGTGCCAAGGGCAGGGGAAAATGACCACGCCCAGCCCAAGGCGGGGCGCGCAGCTGCTCTTCCTGGCCATCATGGCCGTCACGGTGGCGGCCATCGCCCTGCTCTTCTATGCTCTCCTCTGGAAGGCCGGCAACCTCACAGACCTGCCCAACCTCAGAGTCGGCTTCTACAACTTCTGCCTGTGGGACCAGGGCACCGGCTCCCTGCGGTGCCGCCAGTTCCCTGAGCTGGAGGCCCTGGGCGTGCCGCGGGTCGGCCTGGCCCTGGCCAGGTTTGGTGCATATGGGGCCCTGGTCTTCACGCTCTTTGTCCCCCTGCCTCTCTTCCTGGCCTGGTGCAACAGCAGCGATGGAGAGTGGCGGCTGGCGGTGGGCTTCCTGGCCACATCCTCCACACTGCTGGCCGGCGGCCTGGGCCTCTTCCTCACCTACACCTGGAAGTGGGTCAGGCTCTCCCTGCTGGAGCCGGGGTTTCTAGCTCTGGGCACTGCGCAGGCCTTACTCGTCGCCTTGCTCATGGCCACGATCCTGTTTCCTCAGAGGGCGGAGGACAAGAGCAAGCTGGACAGCTACTAGGTCTGTCGGAAGGCTTACGTGATCGCAAGAGTTCGGTCTGAACCATGCTCAGAGAAGGTGCCAGAAACTTGAGGGGCTGCTCTGTCTCCTCAGCCTGTTTGACAGCGAATGCCCATCTCACGCCCTGGCAGCCAGGCCCCGCCATGGAGAGGGGAGGTACCCAGGGTCAAGAGGCCTTGACTTCCAAAGTTCCCAAGGGCACCCCCAGACCACGCAGCTCACCATCCTGAGGACTCCTGCTTTCCTGCACTGATCTGAGCAAGCCATTCTCACTCCATCCTCAGGATCATGGAGGGAGGACTCCTGTCATGAGGCCTGACTTCCAGGGCAATTTGCCAAATGTCAAACTAGAACCCAGTGAAGGTTTATGTCAACCAACGGGGAACATGAGAGAAAGCTCGCCTCAGTGTCCCTCGGGGCCCCGGTTAGCAAGCTCCCCCCACTCCGTCGTGGGTGTGATACGATGAACCCCCTTTCCCTAATACCACTCCCGAAGGCCCAGGAGTGATCCCTTGAGGGATTCACTAGAGACCGAACCCCTGGGCACAAAGAGAAGCCTCGGTGGTTCCGAAGGCTCTCCTGGAGAGGCTCTTGGACCCGAGGCCAGACAAAGCACGGGCATCAGCGGGCAAAACATTCCTAGCACGGGCCCCGGGGGTTGGGAACAGAATACACCAAATCCCCGGAGAGGTGAGGGAGGTGAACAGAACAGCTCCACGCACGTACAGATGCTGCATCTCTTCACTTCTCCACCCAGAACTGCAAAGGATAAAAGCACAGCCTTCGTCTTGGGAACCGGTTTGTATTTCTGAGCACCTGCACATCGGAAAACCTGGACGGCAGATGCCTGCCTCATTCCATCTGTCCAAAGCCACACTGAATAGAGACAGAACGATGGACTCTGGCAGGATCTCGGCTGTAGAGGCTCCTGCGGGCTCCTGTCCCAGTCTTGCTTTCCAACTGCCCAGGGACGGAGGCTTAGCCGCCGAGTGGAAGGGCAGGTGGCAGCGTGGGGGGGTGGGAGGGGGCAGAGGCCTTCCAGTGCAGATCCCAGGCAGAGCCCTGTGGGCATGACATCTGCCTCCCGGGCTGCACGGGGGATGGAAACTCGCTTTAAAAGAGGCTTCCTCCTTAGAGATCCCACTGACTAAACTGTCAGAATTCCAGTGAACTTATTAGCAGCTATACGCTTTCTTCTTTCAAATTTATGAAGGTGACTCTTTGGTTCCAATAAATGTGACCTCCTTGTCCACCTTTCCCCGAACCTGGGAAGTGAATAAAGACAGACCGTCCGAGCGGAGGAGGTACAGAGCAGAAATTCTATGGTTCCTCACTTCCACACACTCACCGGGACAGCTCCCAAGGCCCAGAGCCTCCTGGGCTTCCCCTCCTTGGTGCATCTGCCAGCCCGGGGAGGGGAGGACTGGGCCCCTTAGGCACCCTCGGCCAGGCCCCAGGCCGGGAAGGGAAGCTGGCTTCCCTCAGCGCCTGGGAAGGAAGTCCTGGGAAGTCTGTGCCTTAGCTGAAAAATATCTCCCGGACATATTTTAACATGTCATCGTCCTCCGCAGGGCTCCTGCTGCACGCAGCCTCGGACCCCGTGCGCCCCCGAGGAGGGCCGAGGCCTGGAGGAAGGGCGTCTTGCCCATTGCCCTCACCCTCACTTCCACTCCCAGGAGAACTCGGTGACAACGTTGAGCAGGTTGGGGACAGCTGTTGTTTGCCAGCGCCCGCCAGGGTCGGCGGCTCGAAGGGCTTTTCCTGTTCCCGGGCCTGCAGGAGGACAAACGAGAGGCGAAGCAGACGTGATGTTATTTCCCGCGTGAACGTGACGGCTTATCTGCCAGCGGTGCAGAAGCCACCGCGAAGCGAGCGTGTGACCAGGCCAAGCACTGCTCCCTGATCAGAGCCTCTCCTCCCGCTCCCCTCCCTCCTACCCCCTCACAGCTCCTGCAGAAGTCAAGACCCAACGTGGGAGAGATGTGGGCAGGGGCCCGAGGAATACCAGAGTGGAAAAGAAAAACAGGAAAAATATATCTGGAAAGGCAGGGGTGACAGAATGGAAGGAGCAGGGGATACAAAACTTGAGTGTGGGCCTAAGCTCTGGCACTTATTGGCGGTATAACTAAGGGGAAATCCCTGGGCCTCGATTTCTTTATCTGTAAAATGGGGATAATATCTGAAATAACGATCACCAGGTGATGGCAAGGATTAAATGAGACAATAATCCATGAAAGTACCCGGTCAGCTACCCAATACTAAGGCGCTACAATTACTATTCGCCTCAGAGGCCAGGAAGGCATTCGGCTAAGAAGTACAATGGTCAGGAGTCACCGAGACCCTTCGGAGAACATAAGCAGTTAAAGACTTCCCGTCCCCTTCCACATACCAGCACAGAGTCACCCCGGAGATGGCTGCCCTCCCTCCCACAGCAACTCCCTCCCCACGTGTCCAGCCCCAAACATTAAGTCCTGCCTCGCATGGGGAGAGGCCAAGGGTAGCATGACTTTGAGAGAAGTGCCAGACGAGGGCCTGGTGGAAGAAATGGGAGGACAGATGCCGCCCCCCCTCCCCTAAGGCCGCCTGAGAATGCAGGGTGTCTCTTGTATTGCCATTAATCAAGGGCCCAGTCCGGTTTCCGGCCCTCAGAGTAAGAGACACAGCTGACCGTACCTCAATCAGGGTCCCCAGAGCGACGGCTACCATTTCAGCTTCACTCATGCAGTACACAGTCCTCACTGCAGCGAGCCTGAAAGGAAGGCATGACGCTAGGGTGGGGACGGACGGGTCTCAGGTCTCACGAGGGGGAAGAACATGAGAGCAAGAGTCACATCCCCAGGCCTACCCACCCACTGCCGCTTTCCAATCTGGCCGGCTCCTGACGGTCAGTGCCCCACACTCAAGGGACACCAGCAGATCAAATAGATCATCGCGCCCAGACGTGACTGACCCCCACCTGCACCCATGACCACAGTAGAGCAGGACTGCAAGTCAGAAGGGAGGTGGGTCCAGTTAGGACAACTTAGAAAAGGAAGAGCCAGGGAGGGGAGCACTGTAGTGCCCAGTCTAGAAGAATGCAGGGACATCCCCTCCCCAGCAGCCTGAAGACTCCCCAAATTACCACCATTCAACTAACTGGCCCTGCAGCTTCTGATTCCATGCTGGCCCAGCGACTGCTACTCATCTGTCTGTCCCTGAAGATCCGCCCGCGGGGAGGCTGGACCCTGGTCCACTTAGCTTGACTCCTGGCTGGTCACAATTTTTGGTGCAAATGAAGAGCCTGGCATTTTGGACAAGTGGTGTCTGAGAGAGCTTGGCCAATGTGTGCAAGCCAGAGGGGGAGCACTGCCTGGGAGCTGGCCCTCGATGGCCTGGCTGCAGAGATGCACCCGCAGAGGCGGGGTCTGTCTGTGAGGGGAGGGCTCACTTCACCCCTGCAGGCTGTGCACCGGCAAGCTGAAAAGGCTTCTGCAGGGCTGAAACACCCACCCACCTACCTGTGGAAGGCTCAGCCCCAGCAACTGCTATGCCCCCAAACCCTCCCTCCTCCTGATTCCCCGGGAACCCCAACCGGAAGTTGTCCCACCTTGTTGCAACAGTTTCCTGTGCTGCCGCCGGCCGTCTCCTCCCCTTGGGGGTCTTCACTGGAACCTTTCTCTTCTCGGCCTCCTGGGTTGTCATCCATGTGGGAAGGACCCTCTTTTTATCCTCAGATTTTAAGTCTCCCATCTCGCTTTTCTCTCCTGAAGATGAGTCAGGGCCCAGGCTTAATGATTTGCTTTTCTAATTCAGGACAGTAAACCCCACTCTCATCACACCAGGAATTATAGGTCTGTGTGTCCTGTAACAAAGTCCAGTGAATTCTAAGAAGTTAGAATTCTTCCAGTTATCAGCTGTAATTATTGGTCAGGACAGGCCAGAGGTTAGCCGGGCAGAGAGCAGGGCCCAGGAGACTTAAGACGGGCCATTCCCCTTCTCCTTGCCATCCAAGATGCTCGCTGCCCTCAGGGTGCCCCACCTCTCCTACCCTTAACATAGCTGTCATGATCTCTCCCTCATCTCCCCAACTCCAGACTATTTCCTCTGCCTTGGTGTGGTTATAGGGAAGCCCAAGACCCTTTTGATCCCCAGTAAGGTTGAATCAACCAACACTCCCTCCCTTAATCCAAAGATACTTCTGACTGGCCAGATTTTAGCCAGTAGTAGGGATCAGGGACCACAGCTGATGCTGGCTCTGGGATGGGAGAATCCCAAAGGCCCCAGGGCAGCCTCTCATCTAACCTGGTCTCTCTTCTCTTCTCCCCTCCCCCTAACGCTAACGCTCAAGTCCTCACCCTAAGGCTCAAAGGGTACAAATCGAATCCTGACAGCAGCTTAGGGCTCCGCCTAGGGAGGAGCTTACTGGAGCAGAGGTTTGCCTAGAAAAGGGTCAGCCCCGAATAAGGGATCCCTCTCTGAGTCATAATCATTTATGACTCATCTAGGCTGTCTACAACTTAGGAAAAAAATGAGCAGGACGTCATCCTAACCTTTCTGGCCAGAGGACAGACCTTGGCCAACGTACCTCGTTGTAGTCCCAACGTTGCTAGTCATTCCCACAACTAACGAGCACTGCTAACCGCCAGGCATACGGACATTTATTCGACCCCGATCCCAGATATTATCAAGCCCATCTTACAAACGAGGAATTGACTGCAATGTGCACAAGGTTACAAAGTTTGAAATGGGCAGCCAGGACTCGCAGCCGAGTCGTGCAGGCCAAACCTTGCGCCTAACAGCCGCCATGCTGCCGGGGCTCCAAGGAGGGCAGAGGCCCGGCGGGGAGGGCCGGGAAGGCAGAACGAGCCCGCTCTACCTGGGGGAAACCCAGCTCCGCACGCTCGGAATGGGCCCGGCACTCCCGATCCACCGCCCGCCGCTGCCTCGGGGACCGTGCGCCGCCCCGACCGCGGCGAGACGAGCGCCAACCTGCAGGGGAGAGCGCGGAGGAGAGGCACGTGGACCTGCACGCGGGGCCTAGCGGACCACGGAAGGGAAGCCGCCCGCACGCTCGCTCGCGGCCCCGGTGCTCCGGGCAGGGGGGCAGGACGGAGCTCAGTCCGGACCGCGCGCTCCTCCGGTCCGGGCTCCCTGCCTCCCCGGCTCCCGCGCCGCTCTTCCGGGGTTCCCGAGGGCGGGCCCGAGAGGCGGCCCGGGGCGGCGGTGGGGACGCGGCACTGCCCCGCCCCGCGCCGCCCAGCTTCTGCACTTCCGATCCCGGCCGCGGCCCGCGCAGAGACCCGGCGCGCCCCCTGCAGGCAGCTCGCGCCGCTGGCGTCCCCGCCCGCGGTCCGGGACCCGACAGTCTCTCCTGGACCAAACTCCGCTCGGGCTCCTCTGAACTCTCATCTAGGCCCTGCCTTTGGAGCTTCCCTGCCCTTCTCTACATTGTCCAATTTTAGCAAGCATCCTACCAAGTCATTTTAGCCAGTACCCCCACCCCCAAACCTGATCGCCCTCACATTTGGGAGGGTTCCTCGTCTTTCACCATCTTCCAGGTGATGTCTGATCACCTAGATTGCCTTCAGCAAGAATCCTGGTGCTGAGTTTAGCCAGAGCCCTCCTCCTCACCCATCCCCCTTACCCCTGGTGTTTCCTCTTAGAAACTTCCCATCCACTGACCCCACCCTGCTCCTTGGCTATAAAGTCCCTTTTCCTTGTATCGAGAGTTAAGCCTGATGGCTCTCCCCTACTACAAAACCTCACTGTAGTACCCGCCCTTGAATAAAGTCTGCCTTGATATTTTTAACAAGTGTCATGAATAATTTTCTATTTAACAGAATATTTTTTAACAGTCCCCAAACATGGCTCCATTTGAGGTGTGCTAGTCGGACTTTATTAGAGTGTTAATTCCTGCGTCCCCCCGAGTGAGAAATTAGGGTGAGGGGAGGAGGGTCTGCATTTTTTCAAGCTCAGGATTCCTACAGGGATCAAGGCCAACTCTCCCTGCTGGGGGTCCACAACCCAGGGGGAGGGAGCACAAGGTGAGCCCCTTGGGTGCAGGAAAAGAAATTAAAGCCTCTGTTTATATCTGTTATCTTAAAGGAAGTAGGTGTCACTAACTGAACATTCAGATTGGTGGCCAGGTGCTCCCTCTTCGAGTGGGGCAGCTCCACAAAGCTTCCCAGGTGGTCTGTGTTCAGCCTGGTTCTGAGCACTGCTATGGACACATGGAGCTAGCATCTAGTTTTAGTTCAAATCACACTCAGCTTACAGCAGGCTAAGAGAGGCCAGCAAAGAAACCCCCAGGTCACAGACATGACGAAAAACACAAGCATAAGCAGTCAGAGGTGAAACTTCTCCCGCCGTACTTTGAAGTAAAAGGATGATGAGAACAGACCGTCTGGCCCCAAAATGTGAAATTACCAAGACAGCCCTTTTAACTGTGATTTATAACAAATCCGCTAATGGGGTAATGAGTCTCCATACATTAGAGGTGCACAACAGGGGAGCTCCATCCCAAGCTTGGGGACTCCGGACCCTGAAGCTCTCTTCCAGCTGTGTGGTGCTTTGGGTTTCTCTAAAGCACTTGCACATGCTGGGCCGGAAACGTTTAACCCAATCAAGGCTTAAGGAGATAAAGCCATGGTTTCAAGTCATAAAACCAACCCGTCATACACTGGGGTCATCTAGCTGCAGGCTGAACCTGGACTCTGCCTCCAGTCTTTTCCGGAGGGCAACACCTGGGGGGAGGGGGGAGCAGGCCCTGCTTCTCTGGTTCCACGAAAAGTTAGAACCGCTGACTTCCAGGGTCCTCTGCTCTCAAGCTGTGAAGCATCATTTTGTTTTGTGAATAAAGGAACAGAAAATACTTGTTCTTAGCAGAATCTCTCCTTCCATTATTTGACTCCCTTCAACCTCTTCCCATCGCCAGCTGAAAAATGAGGTCTGAGGAACAGGAAACCTTTGCATCTGCGTGAGCAACTTTCTGTTTGGAGAGAGAGTAGCCCAAACGGGGACAGAAAACTCAAGCTGTGGGATCTGGACAGGCTGGAGTCAACAGCTAAAGTGCTTTGAAAGCCATGCTCCCAGGCAGGCCCAGCAGAGGCAATAAGCATAGAGCAGACAGGTCAGTGAACAGAGAGGGGGAGGCCCCGAGGGGCTCTCAAGCAGCCCGGGCCAGAGCCGGTGGGCCACACCCACGCCAGGTACGCAGACTCGGGGGGTCTGAGCTGCACTGGCTTGACGGCTTCCCAATAAGCTGCCCTTGCCCAAAAGAATGGGAGGAGGCTTGCTGGGGTTCTGGGCAGGGGTTGAACAGCTCTTGTGAAGGAGAAGGAAACTCAAGTTTGGACGTGACTGACCGGATGAGAGCTCATCCCGGAGGGGTATGTGTGGCACAGGGAGGAACACCAGGGTGAACACAGCCTGACCAGCAGTCAGGATGGAGTGAGGGCTGGGGAGAGACGGGCCAGGAGGGGGCAGGTTTGGCCACCTGTATTTGCTAATTTCAAAAGGTCAGAGGTGAATGGGATTTGGGTTTTGTTTGTTTTTAGGCAGTATCGTGGTTTTGTTTTGTGTTTTTAGGCAGTGTGCTGTGGAACCCCACACAATCTCAAGCCAAAGTCAAAACAAAAGGGAGGTGGGTGTTCAGCCCAGAGCATACAGGAAAAGAGAGAAGACATAGCTTTTCAAGCGTACTTTGTTTCTTTGCAGTCCTTAAAGCCATTCCAGTAGCTGTGGAGACCATATTGAGCAGAGAGAATGGGTAATAAGAGAAACTGAAACAAAATGGTGAAGTGAAACAGTGAATTCTCTCACTCAAATGAAACACATGACGGCTTCTTAAATGTCCTACAGAATCACCGGGGGAAATAATTTGCTGTTTCAATGCAGAAGATGGGGAAAATCGTAAATGGAGAAGTCTTGTCTCTCTTCATTTGAAAAGAGCGTTTACCAAGGTAGAAATCGGTAAAAATGTGTAAGTAACTACTTATCAGTCTCTGGTGTTCTCTCATAATTGAGCCACATAAATCCCGACTCTTCCTCCAAATCCCAGCAGAATGGGAGCCAAGGCCTTAGTACCAACTTCATGATTCTCCAGAAGTAGGTAACTGGGAGTACCCCCTGCTCCGGACCTGCACCACCAGACCTGGGCTGCAGCCCAAAGAGGCCCTACGACGACTGTTCCGAGCACCGCGGCAACAAGGCCACCCCTGTCAAGTGTCAGAGCCGGAGACCCACGCCTCGCCCGCCTCAGATGCAAAAAGCAAGCTTGGCCCACTGGCTCCGGTCCTCTCACCATCCACCAGCAGAGGGCGCTGGCAGCTGGCTCCAGTCCACCTCAAGGATGTGAAGGTGACAGAATAAGCGGAGCCCCAGTGGCAGAGGGACAGGGACACCCAGGTGGATTGGGCAGCTGGAATCAGAGACCTCGGGCCCTAACCTCATCCCAAGAAGCTCCACCAACGCAGGGAAGAAAAAGAACACTATGACCTCCCTGACTGCAGCCCAAAGCAATAGGAAGAGCACAAACCTTAGCGAGCCAGTGCAGTGGGAGATAGGACGGCCTAGCTCCAAGGCAAAGCGACAAGCAAACCTCCCACACGGCTCAGTCCTACAGCTGGCAACAGCGGGCACGCAGGGCCTCCGCTCGCAGCTGACCAGCTCCCTGTAGGAACATCTGCCTCTCCAAGGGCAAAGGGCGAACCTTCTCCAACGCTCTGCTGCATGCACGCGTTCCAGAAAGAGCTACCAGGTGACCATGAGAATTCTTTTTTAAAAAAAAAAAAGATGAAAAATGAGCAAATATATACAAAATACTGTCAATCCCTCCTGGGCCAACAGAGCAGCCACCACACTGCATCTCCTGCTTCCTGAACTTTCCTCCCCGCCACCTGGGGCATGCCTCTTGCACAGCCCAGCGCGCTGGTCTCTGGGGCACTCGTGCCACGACTCAGTGAGGCTCCCGTCCAGTCTCTGCAGCTGGACAGAGCCGGGGTTCCCTGGACAGTTTTTCCCTGAGGAGTCCCCACACTGGCCAGGAGCGGGAAGCAGAGTGCCCTGTCTTCCCTCTCCTGTTTCTCTCCTCCCCCCAGGATAATACTGCTTCCGTGGGTGTCCCTTGGGGCGGGTCCCGTCACAGTTTATGAGCCAGCAGGGTGGTCAGCTTGATCTTGCCATCCATGGAGGCAGTGAGGCACGTCCCGCAGTCCATGGCTGTGCTCCAGTCCACAGTGACCACAGGGGCTCGGTGGCCGCCCAGGCTCAAGCAGCTCTCCAGAACCTTCTCATCCCTGCCCAGCTGCAAGACAGGAGAGGAAGCATCAGCAGGCACTGTTCACAAACACAGCCACTTTATCCACCAAACTGCCTCGAGTCTGGGGGCTGCCACCCCACTGTGAGGCCTTCCCCGGGCACACACGCCCACCTTTCCCTTCCAGAAGATTTCAGTTTAATTTCTTGGGCCGGGAAATGCCTTCACTGTCCCAACTATAGTTATTCCTTTGTTTTAGGTGGAAAACAGTATCCTATGCTCGAAAAGACAAGAGAATGTTCTCTGCCACCTTTAACTTGCTGTGGGCCACTGCCTTCTGCACCCACCCCAAACTACACCCAGTACTTTTCCTACATGGCTTACTGCTCCCCAGCATTAGATCGTGCATCTGCTGCTGTTTCCCATTTGCTTCCCCCAGGAATGCAGGCTTCAGGAGGGCAGGATGCTGGTCCTCTCCTGCATCAGCCAGCACAGTGCTGCCACACGCGGGCCGCCGAGGACGTGTGAGCCCGGCTCTCCCTCACCCACCAGCACCAGCCTCCCGGGACTCAGCCCACGGCCATGAAGAGTCGGAAGGGAACAAGGAAGGGGAGGCCAGGAGCACAGCGAATAAAGATCAATCCAGCGACAGACAACACCCATGAGTAGGGAACCCAAGTCGGCCTTCGTGGAGAAAACATCTTTAAAAATCATAGACTGTTTAAAGATTGTAAAAATGGGATCTAGAGTTCATTATATTCCTTAAGTAACTAGACCCCATAACTGGCATTTCAAAAATTATACAGAGGGAAATCTTCCAACCCATTAACTGGTTACAGAGCAAGTCTGACGGCAAATCATCAGCTCACAGTAGCCACCCTGGCCCAAGCAGAATGCCAGAACCTTCTCATGCCCAGCCAGCTGCAGGAGGACAGGAGAGGAGGAGGCACTGCAGACAAATGACAAAGGCTGATCGGGACAAATAGCAAGTGACAAAGGCTCATGATTAAAAATACACATATACACAACACACATAAAATCATACACAAAGTATAGCCTAACAAACTGAGTTTTTAAATAATAAAATACAATCACGCTGGCAAACAGCAATCTTTTTATAGTATCTTCTAATAGCAATTACAAGAAATTACAGAGCTAATTTTAAGAAGGCAAAAGCCACTCAATGCATCATCATCCGTGGAAAAGAGCCTCCCTGACGGTAAGCCCGGATTACGCGGTGCCACGCTCCAGACCAGCAGCCGGCTCCTGAATTGACCCCTGTGCACCCCCCTTCCCTCCCTCTCACTTGCCTCTACCCCTGTGGGGCCCCAAGGCCTGCCTCACTCCCTGTCCTCCCCAACTCCTCCTTCCAAAAGCCTCAAATCCATAGACCACCCTCCCCACCCCCACAGGGGTCTCCCCTGAGGACCCAGCCCCTGCCCAGCTGCCTCCGTTCAGAACCCTGCCCTGCCCCTGGTGTTGGTGTTTTGAGTGTGAGCCCCACGAGAGGAGGCTCGCACCCTCCCCGATATGCGCTCCACAGAGCCTAGGCCAATACCTGCACACGCCTGCCATCCACAGCACATGCTGTCCGCTAACCGATGAGCTGGGGTAACGAGGGCACGGACAGCCCCAAGCAGAGAACATTCTTCTTGTGTCTCTACACCTACAGACTAAATAAACACTACCACTAGGCAAAGAATTACCACTGAGGCTAAGAACTGGTTTGCCCGGTTACCAAAAACATATGCTTAGGAGCACCTGGGTGGTTCAGTCAGTTAAGCGGCCGCCTTCAGCTCAGGTCATGATCCCCAGGTCCTGGGATCGAGCCCCGTCAGGCTCCTTGTTCAGCGAGGGGTCTGCTTCTCCCTCTGCCCCTCCCCCACTGCTCGTGTGTGTGTGTGTGTGTGTGTGTGTGTGTGCGCGCGCGCGCGCGTAAAAAACAAAAAAACATATGCTTAGACTACAACGCAAATCCTCATTAGTCTGTTTGATAATACTAGTAAAATAGAAGAGATTTATAATTTCAGACAATTGTACAGAAAAGTACATGAACCAGAGAAGCTCAGACATGAGAACTAAGCACATAAACTGAGGGACAAAACCAACGTGGACCACTTATATCCTGGTGTGATAAATCACACCCCAGATTTCTCCCTTGGCCAAGGACTATAATGTCCGTGACCCACGGGACCTCCAATAAACTACAGACTTCTACACCAGATCAGAGTCACTAAAGCAGATCATGGAAGCACTCGCCCAAGCGCAGCGCGTTCCCCTAACCCAACACACTTCCCAACGGTTCTCCCTATTTCTTCACGTTTTCTGTAACTGATATTATTCCCAAGGAACAAAAGCAGAGAAGGGCCAAAATCTTGTCAAATGACTGCAAATGGACAAGTAGAGAAAAGGATGAATGTCCCCACCCTGTCCCCACCCCCGAGCTGAGGATCAGGCCCCTTGCCTGACCTGCAGCCACAAGACGCCATCCACCCTGGGTCAGAGGCTTCTCCACGCTCAGCCCACTCAGCCCACACCTCCAGGGAGGAACCTCCCTGCCCACCGAGACAGGGCCCCCTCCAGTACCTTGTAGATGACGCCCCCGGTGGCAGAACACGTCAGCATGTAATTTCCCTCTGAGTCAAAAGCGAAGAGTCGGCCCCGGGGGACTTGAACCTGCTTGTAGCCGCTGTAACCCGACAGCACAAAGGGGCCCGTGGCGTCGGAGGGAAGGCCGTACTCAGACACCTTCAGGCCACTCCTGTGGATGTTCCACTGGATGAACTGCAACCACAAAGCACACCCTAAATGCTCTTTCAGCGGGGTGGCGGGGGCAGGCCTGGGAGGAGGAGGATGGACCCCAGGGCACAGGTGGTGGTTTGACAGGCCACCAGGAAAGGTAGTGGGATGACCCCTCAGTCTGTCTTTTCCCAACACAATTCAAACATATTTTTAGAGAACATCTTAGAAAGAGCCCGTAACTTCACAGCAAAGCATGAATTTTCTCTCTGGCCTGACTCCAGGAGAGGAAAAGCATAGGCAACTGCCCGTGTTTGGATTCCCACCTCTCAAGCAGGGGGAATGTTCCAAGTGATCATTATTACTGTTGCTGTTGTTTCTAGGGTTAGAACCCAACTGGGTTTTTCCGACTTAGAAGAGAGGATAAACTCCAAATATGTTCCCACTGTCTCAGTGGTGTAATCAATTCAACATGAGCAGTACCATTAAAAACTAGCTTCATGGACTGTAGTGTAATAATCCTTTAGTCTACACCGTGGACAAGCCGCCTGTGTGACCACCTCTTCACTGAGAATCCTACTCAAATAGGAAGTCAAGCTTTAACTTAAAACTCCCTTCCCATAGTTTTCAAATGAATAATTTACTTTATAATTACAGTTTTCAATGAATAATACAGGCACACAGTATAAAATCCAAAGGTACAGGAGGGTATATATGGAAACGAAGTCTTCCTCTCTCCTCTGCCTGCCAGCCTCCCACCCCCAGCTCCCTGTCCATGGATCCGAACATGTCCTTCCAGAAAGAACACGTACGGAGGCACTTATCTTCACTTTTTATCCCCCCAAACCGCCGCTTCCTTTTGACTCTGCTCAGGCCTATCTGCACTGCCCCTAGGAAGAAACTCATGCTGTGACACCCGATGACCTAGGTCAGCCCAACCCGGGGCCTAAGCTGGACCCCCCTCATCCACCTAGGGTGGGAAGACTCACTTCTGCTACAACTAGGAGGGAGGCTGGGTTCTCCCCTTTCCTCATCGCCAACTCCCACTACGCCTGTTCACACCTCACGACAGTGCCAAGACTGGTGACTCTGGCTGCCCCCCTCGTACGGATGACACGCTGCAGCAGAGAGGGGCCTGAGGCAGAGAGCCGGTAAAGGGCACGGTCAGGATTCATCTCAGCCCCTCATGCTATTCTGGTGCTCTCTGGAATCTCCGATGCTGAAGCCAGAGGAAAAGAGTCCGGGTCAAACTGCGGCTCCCACCTACCTTCCCGTCCTGGCCGATACTGTACACGGTGTTCTCGTCGTAACTGAACTCCACCGAGTAGACCTCCCCGCAGTGGGCCTTCCAGCTCATGGCGCACTCGTGCTGCTGCATATCTGAGGCGATGAGATGCCGCTAAGACCCCCACCCGGGCCCTGGGGAGGCATCCGCCCACGACAGGAGGCGTCTCTTGCCCTCCGCCCAAAGGGCAGGAACTATTCTGGAGGCAGAGGGCCTCCTGGAGCCTCCAGGTATCAGAGAGCTGACCCCTGCCAAAGAGCTCTTCCATTGTGCTCATTCTCTCCTCCAGTGTATGAATCAGTGATTTAACATTTCTAAAATTGAAGCTTTTCTCCCTGGGTCAAAAATGAGGTTCAGGAATCCCTGGGCGGAACCTGAGCTCATCTGGGAAGCGCACAAGTCTAGGGAGACAAACAAATCCTTCCGAGGCGGCCTCTGTAAGGTCCCACAGGGCGCCTGGGGGATCTGCTAGACACGGTCCCTGGTGCCCTCCCAGACTCTCGGAGTCTCCTGGGGCGGGTCTGCAGGGGCTCTTCAAGCAGCATGCCGGCTAACTCCGTTGCACACCGTTCTAATGCTCTTACCAGAAGGCACTAGCCACCCTGAGCGGACGGCACGGCCGTACTCTCATGTGTCCTCCTGGATCTCACTCAGGCCACAGGACTTGGATCACACAGCGCCAGACTCAAGGCCTGCTAAGCCCCACCACTCCTAGGTCCACAGACACCGACCGTGTGCAAGGGGACTGATTACAGAGGTTTTGAAAAGAGCAGACTTGGACCAAAGTTAAGCTCTGTTTCGAGCATCCCGAATTGGGTGGGCTTCAGCAATAGCTTCTAGTCCAGCCCGCAAAAATGCAACTCTCTTCTCTGGGCCACTGAAGGAGGGCACCAGACGGCCACGAGCACAGCTGCTTACCAAACAGCCGGATGACGCCGTCAGCCGCCCCTGTGACCAGGAGGTTCCCATTGTGATTGAAGGCTGTGCAGTTGATGGCAATGGGCTCGGGGTCCAGAGAGAACTGGAGCTAATTAAAAACAAAAACAAAAAGAAACAAAACCTAACTAAATTTGAAATTGTAGGAGAATAACCACCCAATATTCAAGACAAATCTCTCTGAAAAGGGAAGAAGATCAAGATTGGGGAGGGTACATGAGAGCATGAAAAGTGCTGGAAGGTTCCACTTTCCAACTGTGACCGTACGTAGGTGCTCACGTTACAGCTTCTCTTCTCGTTATACTGCACACCTGATTACAAGATTCTTTTGTATGTACTCCGTATTTCACTAAAACTTTAAAGATAACAAGTAAACATAAAACTACCCGAAGTGCCTCCGAGGCAAAGAGGAAGGTGAAGAAGGATCTAACTAAGCTGGGCTGTACATGGGAAAGCACTGAGAGGTGCTGGAGGACAGATGTGTGCCAGACGGGGTGGGGATAAGACCTCTCCCTCGGGGGACAGCGCAGGACACACCCCAAAGCTGGAGCAGTGGGGAGGGCAGACCGCGGGGGCCCTGAGGGAGTGTGGACAGGAAATCTGGAAGAACAGGTAGCGCTGTGACATGCGCCGGGGTCTGTTGTTCCCTGCAGCGAGTCAGGGGCACCGCCGCAGGAGGTCGTGCGGCGTCTGGCGAGGGGGCACTCAAGAGCCGGTCTAGGGCATGTCCCTGGAAGTGCACAGAAGTGGGCCGAATGGAAACAGTTTGCAGGTGGAGTTGACAATGTCTGTTCATGCGCTCTGCCGGGTGAGAGAGAAGGGTGGCTCCAGAAAGGCACGCAGTTCCTCAGTGGGGCGCATTTGCCAAGACAAGAAAAACTTGGGAGGAGAACAGACATGGCAGGGACTGTGGGCAAGAATTCGGTGGGGTCCTGATCCCTGCGCTCTGGGGAGACCCCCTCTCTACAGGCAGGTGCGACACAGCCCATCTAGAGGACAGGGACCCTTCCTGGCGTCCAGTGACCTTGGAAACCCATCTGTTCAATGCAACGGCCATACCACATTTGCGCCCCAAAACTCACTTCAATAAGAAACATCACTGCCTTCTAAATGTGTGCATTTACACATCATTTCTCTCTCTGGGGGCTGAGGGTCACAGCAGCAAGCACCCGCCACGGTAGGTGGGTAGTCCTCGGCTCCCGAGGCACGTGGGCCCGGTGGCCCCACGAGCCAGCTTCCGCATGGCTGTCACTTCTCAAGAACCTGCACGTGTCCCCACTACCTCCAGCTGCTGCTGGCAACTTTATGCAATGCTACGTTAATGGGGAGTCAGAGACTCCACTTGTCTCCTAAAAAACAAGCCACTTGATTGCATAACACAAAGTGAAAGAAGCCAATCTGACCATGCTGTAAGATTCCAACTACATGATGTGACGGAGAAAGCAAAGCTATGGAGACAGTATAAAGACCGGCAGTTGCCAAGGTCTGAGGGGCAGGGGGATGAACAGGAGCACAGAGGATCTTCAGGCTGCTTTTAGTGAAAATGGCCTGTGTGGTACCGTAATGGTAGATACACGTCCTCATACATCTGTCCGAACCCAGACAGTGTACCACACCAAGACAGAGCCCGAAGGCAGGCTGGGAGCATGAGGTGATCAGCTGTGTCACTGGGGGGGGGCCTCTGTTGTAACCAGGGTGCCGCTCTGCCGGGGGGCACAGCAGGGGGTAAATGGGAGATCTCTGGACCCTCCTCCCAATCTTGATGTGAACCACAACTGCTCAAAAAAAATTTTTAAAGCCTTTCAATATAAACAAAATTAAATTTAAAAAATTTAATAAACCACAAGGGTGCTCTAATAGGCTGTGTGTGACTTCTGAGTCTGTGGCACAATTCTGGATAACTTCAGTTGCTAGCAATCTGCCCAACTGGAGCGTTACTACTTTTCAACACTTCAACTTTGAACCTGCTTCACCAGCTGAAATCTGAGGAGACTAGTGCTTGCTTCCGCAGCACATACACTGAAATCTGAGGAGACCGAAGCAAAGAGAGGATGAAGCTCATCAGAAAGACAGTGCTACCGCAGGAGCGGGACCCCACACAGACCCACGGGGAGCCCCCCCGGGGCAGGGCCTGCACCTGCTGCTTCATGGTTTTCGTGTCCCACAGCAGTAGCCTGCCGGGAACCTGGTTAGTAGCCTTGCTGACGATATCCGGAGCTGAGAAGTCCACCTGGGAAGCGAGGCTCGGAGCGGCGGCCGAACAGACGAAGGAGGCCCCGTTGGGGCTGCAGGCAAGCGACAGGATTCTGCAATACACGTGGGGCCGGGTCAGCACTCCGCCTGCCCCCAGAGGAAGACAGGCTTCAGCTCTGAGGCGGGTCCTGCTGCGGGGATGGGGCAGAAGGCCCAGCACAGAACCAGGCCCTGCAGAGCATGGCGGCTGTGGGCCGTGGCCTCCCACTCACCTGGGCATATCATCGTTGATGCTGATCTCACACAGATTCTTCTTGGCTTCCGTGTCATAAAGACGCACCGTCCCCACACCACTGCCCAGCAAGAGCTGGAATGAGAAGGGGCGGGGGTGCAAAGCATAGCACGGGGCTCAGGCCGGGTCAGGGAGGACCACTGCGGGGCCAGGCCCACTGTGGGTGCGGGTGTGGGCAGGCTGCAGGGGTGAGGCCCCGCCTCTGCCTACCTCCCCACACTCAGGTGAAATCTGGCTAACATGGGCCTCATTTAAAAATTACATGAAGACATCAGAGGTGACCTTGAACAGAAGCGGAACTTCAAAAGGAATCTATGGACTGACTAGGAGAGAGGTATCGCCTTGGATATACCTGGAACTGTGCTGGCTCATTAAATGAGGCCCTCTGACCTTCCCTCCCTTTCTGCCAGTTTTAAATCCCAGCTGTGCCTGTCCTCCCTTCTCGATCCTCATCTACCCGCCACACCTCCCTGAGTACTGGCCCCTGGCTGCCTGCCCCAGTGGCACGTTCTGGGGACGGCTCTGGGCCTGTAATGGCCTCCAGAAAAAATAGAAAAGGTTATTCTTGCCTTCAGGCATTTGTGATTTACTGGGTAAGAAGCTTCAAAGATAATAATGGGTATGGCCAGAAGAAAGCACCAGAAGCAGGTCTGAGGATATCCCCCAGGAATATTACTTACCTTCTGACCTCAAATTAACACTGGCAAATTAATATGTTTACAGGGTAAGCTCTGAGATCCTAGTACCACAAGAATAATTCCTGCAGGTTGTCAAAAGTTATTAAAAAACAAAACAAAACCAATGAGGTTTGCCCCTTGGGCTGCCTTGTATGATCTCCTCGGAATGGAATACAGTGAAAGAAAACACTATGAATCAACTTTACCTCCTTAACTACAAAGCCTCTCTCAAATAGTGACGTCCAAAAGGGAAAAGAACACTGTACTATGTACTAATAGCACTGTAGTAGACCTGTGGGGACCCCAAACAGGACACCATCCCCACCAGCCTAACCTGCTACCCCGGGAGCCTGCCACGGGGAGGGGTCTCAGCAGGAGGAGGAGCAGCTGAGAACGTTCGTCGTGGGTTGTCAGAAACTGGACAGATGACAGGAGCTGACGGGGGAGAACGGGAGGCAAGCTGGTGTCCCCCCAGCCAGAGAGGAAGCAGCACTCCCCCACCAGACAGGTTTTCCAGGTCCCACTACCATCGGATTTCAATTCCTGTGAATCCAATAACCTCCCTGCAGCCCCCAAACACGAGCCTGCCGGGACAGTCTGGATGTGTGTGTCCCCAGGCCCCAGTAAGAGAGAAGGGAGGGGCTGGGTTTGGCTGCCTCAGCTCAGCCTGTGGTGCCAGACGCCGGGGGACGGCCTCGGGAACACCTCACGTAGACGGCAACAAGGCAGGAGTCACTCACCAGCCTGTCCCGCTTGGTGGCCCACTCCAGGGACAGCAGCGGCGACTTGGAAATGGAGGACGCTTTGGTCTGCATGATGGGGTTGAAGGACCACACTTTGATGACCCCATCTACGTCTAAGCTGGCGACCCTCCTCCCCGAGCAGTCCACTCTAAGACGGAAGAGAAGGAGGCCGTTATCATCCTCGCCCGAGCCCACCATCCTCTTCGGCTAGCACCCAGAGCATTGCTTTGCTGACTTCTCAACTGTTTCCCAAACTGCCTACACTCCAAGGATGGGCGTGGGCTATTTCTAGAAGTATTCATTCAGGCACCTGCCCAAAAACTATGAACGCAGGACCTGCTCTGTGCTGAGCCCTGCGGGAAAGAGTGGGGACAGAGCAGTGGGGCGGCGCACGCGGCCCCACGCCTGGGCAGTGGCGCCTCCTGCGGCGGGGCTCCAGAGCCACCGGGGCCACGGCAGGGAGCCCCCCACTCTCCGCAAACCACACTCCATGAGGCCTTCTCAGAGATGTCATGCTTTTACCACGCATGACTAAAAACTTGTACATGGTGAAGGTGTACCGAAAAGTAAAGCAACATAAAGCAAATGAAAATTAAGTCTCAGGGAGTTCAAAGAAAAGGTAACTTGTTCCTAAAACTCAGAGTCCCACAGTGAGAAAGGATAGAGAGGCTACCCCCACCAAGAGCAGCTGTCCACCCTCCTCGGACTCTGGAGGGATGACTATGGTCCATCAGGGACCATTCCCCGGTGGACCTCCTGCCTGCCACACCTTCACACGCACAGCCTGACAAGCCAGGCTTCCGAGGGAGCCAGCCCCTCCAGCCCAGTCAGCACTTTCCCTGCCAGGGGCCTCCCCCTGACCCCCAGACCCCAGCCCACCTGCAGTGCATGATGGAGGAGTGGTGCTCCCCGTACTCCTCCTGCCCCAGCACAATGAACGGCTGCTCGGGGCGGGCCCCTCCGCCCTCGGCACCGGCTGCAGAAGCCCGCGTCAGCGTCTCCAGCGCCTCCACACGGAGCTCTGGGCAGGGCTCGGCCTCTGGGCCACTAACCTCGGCCTTCTTCTCTGCGCTCTGGGACAAGCAAAGTGGCAACAAGTGAGCTGTGAGTGGTCCGCACATCTGGGGACCTGCTGCAGGACAGCTAGGATGCCAGGCCACAGCATGCTGGGGGAGGTTCTCCGTGGGCACAGGCTCTAGAAGGAGGAGCTCTGGATGCCGAGAGCAGCACCCAGCTTGTCCCAGGAGAGGCAGGCTCCTGCTCTGCCAATGGTGCCTCTCTAGAGACCTTCCCCCTCTCATAGGCCCTGCTGAGCGAGTAGTGGGCCAGGGGCACCCTCGCCCTGTCACAGCTGACACGACGCAGGATAGGCCGGCAATAAAAATTAGTGAGCACTTAGTAAGTGCCAGGCACTGTGTGACTACATTTGATTCGCTCATTTAATCCTACCCCAAACCATCTGAGATCCTATTATTAACCCCATTTGATGACTGTGGAAACTAAGACTGAAAGCAGAAAGTTAAGTAACTTGCCCAAGGTCAAGAGCCGGCACGGGGCAGAACTGGATGTGAAGCCAGGTCAGTCAGAGGTAGGTCTCGCCCCTCACCAGCATCCCACCACGCCGGTGCCAAGAGACCGAGGTGAATGGCCAGACATAAAGATGGAGACCCGAGGACAGCCGCAGAGCCAGAACAAGGCTGGGCCCCAGAGGGCACCCCATACACCCTGCCGCCCGGCAGGTCCGCAGCTGCCCTGGTCTCTGCCTCGCTGGTGCGCTGTTGGCCACCATGACTACGACTATTCTCCCAGACATACCCCGGGCCAGGGGGCATCCGCCAGGGCAAACCCCGCCACCCCCCACGGCTCCTGAGACTCTTTGGAGTGCTCCTCAGCATCTCAGAAAGCACAGTTCCACAGCAAAAACCTAACAGCAGGAGACAGACCTCTAAGCTCAGACAGGCGCCTTTGGGGGGCGGCTAAGCTCAGGTGCGTCTCTAATCCAACAGTGTCGGAACGGGACACTCTGAGGTCTGAGCCGTGGGGGTCTACGCCATCAGACTGCCACCGGTGCAGGGCTGGGAAGCAGCACGAGCACCTCTGAAATTGGCAAGCAGCCCCAAAGAGAGGATAAGTAGTCAACAAGGTGACTTAGCCAGCAAATCCCTTGTGCGTTTCCCTTCAATCCGGAGCATGTGAGAGAAAGAAAGAGCTTTCCTGCCAGGAAGAGGAGACCCCGACCCATTTTCAGGAGAGAGGGGAGTCCCAGGGCTCAGCGCGGCAAGGGCCCAGGCCACAGCACAACACGGCACGACAGGGCAGCGTCTCCAGCAGGGGATGCGGGAGGAAGGGACCCTGTGACGGAGCAAGGCTGGGGGATTATGGGTTAAAGCAAGGGAAGCAGGTCTCTCCGGCCAAGCCTCAGAGAACCTGTGACCCCCGAACAGTATTACGCAGAAATCAGGAGAGGTAAGCGCACGCTCTGCACCACCCCATCTCTAGCCACAGCCTCCAAGAGTAGCCACGCGATGTCCCCACAGGCACTCATCCGCTGCCAAGACCAAGCCATACCTGCAAAGTCATAGAGAAGAGCTCCTTCCTCTCTTTGCCGTGGTCCTGCAGGCGCCGCTGTCGGTGCTGCGACCAGCTGGACTCCCCGGACGCCAGCCCGCTCAAGAGGCTCTTCCCGTCTCGGGGCCCGCACGCATTGTCCTTTCCCTTAGCGGCCTAGAGGGCGAGACACCGGGCGGTGAAGTGTCGCTTCCTGCCTGAGCCCAGGCCATGACCCTTCAGCCAGGGAGGGAAGCAGAAGCCAGAGGGCAGCTTCGCTACCCCACAGCTCCTGGGTTAAGGTTCCTCCAGGGCGATGCTGAGAGGTAGCTATAATGTTACCATCTCAGCCTAGGGGTGAGTCAAGAGTGGAACACGAGCAGTCTGGACCCCCTCCTTTCGGTTCTCCACTCCCCTGTTATAAGAGGTAGGTCACCAACTCCTCAGCCTGCCATACCCTTCACCTGCAGACAGACAGACAGACACATACAATTCCCTCATCTAACCAGAACAATTAACTCTAGCTAGGAGGCAGAAGACCGTGCTTACTAAGCGATGACTATGAGAGGGGTCAGGCCCTATGCTAGGTGTCAGAAACTTCTGCAAGCAACTCTATGTTTGGGCAATACAAAAAAAAAAAAAATATATGCAACATACAATCACCTCTCTGGAGGCAAAAAGGAACACAATACCCTCTCTTGTTTGGGGCCAAGTGTATGACTAAGCCAGCTAATGTTAACAAATACTGAGGTATTTGGAAATGATTACTAGGCAATCAGAAATTCTTAAAAGAAATTGTTGAAAACTCAAGGACCTTTGAGCAAGATACACTGGACAGGAAAGAAACTGGCATCTTCTGGCCCCTTTTCATGGCAGGAGTGATAAAGTCAACCACGGTTACAGCAAATGAATTCAATAATCCCCACCCACTTTCATGGGGAGAAGATTCTTCATCTAGAGCCTTTTATTTTTTTAAAAGATGTATTTATGAGAGTGAGCGAGCATGGGGGGGAGGGAGGAGGGAGAGAAAGAATGCCAAGCAGACTCCCTGCTGAGCACAGTGGCGGACTTGGGGCTCAATCCCATGACCCTGAGATCATGACCTGAGCTGAAACCGAGAGTTGGACGCTCAAGCGACTGAGTCACCCAGGCGCCCCTAGAGCCTTTTTAAAAGGAGATGTCACCTCATCCTTTCCAGATTATTTGGCTGGGCTGTTTCCAACCTTATTCCCACAAATTGTGATGGTCAAAACTGCTCCCCTCCCTCTGCCTTACATTACACTCCAAGCAAAGGGATCTGGATGCAAACAACCACTCAGGTTTGAGACCAACCTCTTGGGCAAGTCATCTGCACACAAGACGTAAGTGTAGAGAACGAACTCAACCAAAGTCTGCTTGTTGCTTTCTACTTCTTCTACTTCCTGGTTTTCATGTTACTACTAAACAACTTAAAACAACACAGATTCCTTGGGACCCCGGAGCCATGGGAAGAGTTAAAAAGGAAAGTTTAAAGGACTATGAGTTCACATGGAGCCTAACTATAGCCGACCTTCACAGTATTGGTTATTTCTGTTTTTCTGACTGAGGTGATCTCAAGGGTATCCACTTATGCTTGTAACAGAGGTTTTTTCTAGGGAAAGTATTTGATTCTCTACATTCTGGCTTATTTTAGGAGAAGTAGGGTTCTTAGTCAAGATAAAAGAGATAAACTTAAAAAGAAAACCCATGACAACAATAATAGCATCAAAATAGATTACTCATTGAATGCTGACCATATAGAAGGCACCGTGCTAAGAACTTTACAAATGTTCCCTTAAAATAAAGATGAGGACATTATTTTAACAGGAGAGAGTGAGGCTTAGGTTAAGTTACTGCTCCCACAGGGAGAAGTGGACAGAGGCGGAATTCCCACCCAAATCTGACAGCAAACCCCACGCTCTGAGAAACCCGATGAAAGCAATAGCATGAAAAGAGCACAGAGAAGAAAGTGACAGTGAATAGAAATAAAAAAAGAGAAAGAAAGAAAAGAAAAGAAGAAATGTCATGTTCCCAGAGCTAAATAACATAACAAAGACAAGGCCCTTCTCACAGTACTTCTGGCCATTTTTGAGAAGTAACTCATGGTTCGTGGAACCCTGAAGAGGCTCCACAGTTTTAGAAAGTGCAATTAGACTTCTCTTACCTACGGAGAAGCGGTGGTTGAGATATACGAGAAGGTCTTGAAACTATGGCGTACCTCACATGGCCCCCAGGCGGGCTGTGCTCACTCCCTGGGAGGTGATCCAAGGGTGCCGGCCCTCATTATACGAATCCACTGATTCCTCCCCATATCTCTAATCAAGAGGGCAAATCAGACTGAAGACTTCCACAAGGGTAGCTATACTTGTATCAGACAAAATAGACTTTAAGCCAAAGACTATAAGAAACAAAGAAGGTCATTATGTAATGATGAAGGGGTTCATCCAGTAAGAGGATGTGACGCTTGTAAGTATTTATACACGTGACACAGGACCACTTAAATATATACAGCAAATACCAAGGAGAAATAGGCAGCACCTTCAACAGTGGAAAGACCATCCAGACAGAAAATCAATAAGGAAACACTGCACTTGAACTACATTTTAGACGGACCTTTAGATGGACCTAAAAGACAGATACAAAACATCCCATCCAAAAGCAGAATATACACCCTTCTCAAGCACATGGAACATTTCCACGATAGATCATGTTAGGCCACAAAACAAGGCTTAATAAATTTGAGAAGACTGAAATCGTATCAGGCATCACAATCATATCAAACTACAAGTCAATCATAAGAAAGTCTAAAAATTCACAAGTATGTGGAGATTAAACAACACGTTCCTGAACAACCAATGGATCAAAGCAGCAATCAGAAAGAGAAACTAAAAAATATCTTGAGAGAAAATGGAAACATGGCACACCAAAACTTAAAAGATGCAGGAGGTGCAGTTCGAAGAGGGAAATTCATAGCAATAAATGCCTGCATCAAGAAACAAGAAAGATCTCAAATGAACAACTTCCTCAAGGAACTAGAAAAACAAATGAAGCCCAAAGTTAGAAAAAAAGGAAATAATAAAAATTAATGAAATAGAGACTAAAAGGACAACATAAATGATCAACAATATAGCCAGTTTTTTAAAAGATAAACAAAATAGACAAACCTCTACCAAGAGAAAAAGAGGACTCAAAAATAAAGAATTCCAAAACATGTCTCTAAAAGAAAGCTCTCACATTCTAACAGAAAAGACAAAAAAACCAACAGTAGAGGCCATGTTTTCTGGTTAAACATGGCTATGGCAACTCCACAGTCAGCTATGTACACCGCAAGGAAGAGAAGGAAGATCACTTTCCTGGGTTGACAGCTATTTTCCAAAATAATGGGATCCAGGCAAGTGAGGAAGTCTCAAAAAGCCTGGACCAACTATTATGCAGTTGTGACAGATTTATCAGCCTGACCAAGAGATATTTACACTGGACATTAGAGAAGAAAAGGATCCATACAATATTACATTCATGCCCTGCAAGTACATGGACCACAAGGGATCCAGCCTGGGGCCCAAGGGTGGGGAATGCCACAGAGGGCAGACAGGTACTCCGTGGCCACTCTCTTCCTCCCCTGCTCACCCGCTACACCTGAGAAATCGTGCCTCTTCTCTTCTCAGTGCTGTGCTTTTTTTTTTTTTTTTTTTAAGATTTTATTTATTTATTTATTTATTTGGCAGAGAGAGACACAGAGAGAGAGGGAACACAAGCAGGGGAGTGGGAGAGGGAAAAGCAGGCTTCCTGCTGAGCAGGGAGCCCGATGCAGGGCTCGATCCCAGGACCCTGGGATCATGACCTGAGCCGAAGGCAGACTTAACCAACTGAGCCACCCAGGTGCCCCTCAGTGTTAAGTCTTAAGAGCATTCAATGAGCCCATACTGATGGAAGAGAGAGGCTTGAAATGGACTTCAAATTCCTCTAGCTGATACAAAAGTCACTTGTAGCACTTCCCCAGCCCAGACAGGACATACAACATGAAGAACAAAGGCAGGGCTTCCCTCCAAGTCAGAATGGCAAGGAAGTTTCTGGTACGTCCTCAGGTAAGGGCTGGACCATCCTCCAAAATGGAAATTCAAACAGGTGTCAACAAAAGGCACCACAATGAACTGAAAAACTGCTTTTATAATGAGAGTAGTTTATGCCAAGGGAGCCATGGACCTACACGTGACCTATGAGATCTGGCTTAGAGTGTCTCCTTCAGCTGCATCTCATTATTTGCTCAAGAAGGGTGAACAACAAAAAACGATAATGTACTAAAAGCTGATGAATGCAGCTCTCCATGGAACACTTTAATAAGTAGGTTAAGGTAAACTTGTGTCTAACTACAACTGTACCTAACTTAAACAAATGTTTACTCTGATGAAACTGGTAATTCAGTTTGGTTTTTTTTTTTTAAGATTTTATTTATTTATTTTACAGGGAGAGACACAGCAAGAGAGGGAACACAAGCAGGGGAGTGGGAGAGGGAGAAGCAGGCTCCCCACTGAGCAGGGAGCCCAATGTGGGGCTCGATCCCAGGACCCTGGGATCATGACCTAAGCCGAAGGCAGACGCTTAACGACTGAGCCACGCAGGCGCCCCTGGTAATTCACAGTTTTGAAAGCAAACCTCATAAAAGTCTTAACTACCAGATTCACATGACGTTCCAAATGGTCCAAATTATATTGTCATATTCCATCACAATCTACCTGTCTTCTGCAGTTCAGAACAAATATTTTAACCTGTGTTTTATCACTTCACCTTTGCATTTCTCTCTGGAGAGAGAGAGAAATTAATTTTCTGTGGCCTGAGCAGAGTTTACCAGGCAGTCACCCAGATGGGGCAAGAAACAGGTTCCAGTAATCTGGTCTCGCCTGAAGTAAAACAAAGCTACCCAGAAGACAGGACCTCATCACACATAAAATTATAGAACAAAAGTCGTGGGAAAGGGCTCCCTTTTCCTCCATCCCATTAAAATCCATGGAAACAGCCCCAAGGGCAACTGTTCTTACCGCTGATGTCTCAGTAGCTATGAAGTAATTTGATGCTATTAAGAGTTACAAATGCAGAAGTCTGCTTTCTTTACATTGCAGCCAATTAAAGGTTATCTCTATAATAACCGGCAGTCCATCGCTTCCTGAGTGGGAGTGGAAGGAATGGCATCAGAAGGCTGGAGGGGAGGATGGAGTGCAAGTGCAAGCTGGGTGAGCCAGCAGGGCAGGTGCCCTCAGGCACTATGGTAACAGAGATCCCAGAGGAGCTTGAGAGCTGTGGTTTTCGAGTTACTTCCATTTGTTTCTTAAATTTTGCCTCCAGAGTCCTATAAAGCCCAGAGTGCATCACCATATGTTGTGCCATGTATAATGCCATGAACATTTCAGGAGTAATGACCAATAGTTACAACGACCCATCACAAGTGGGCAAAATGCTGACGTGATTGAAATGTACAATGTTATATATAAATAATTATTTAAAACAGGAAAGCCGGATTATTTTATTTATTGCTAATGTAATAACACAGCTTGTTTTTCTTTTGCTTCTTAATAATAAAGGGAGAAAGAGTCCTGCTGTGTCAGAAGTGAAAAAAAGACTCCGTGCTTCATAGGCGCTACCAAAGCAACGTGGCTCATTAAAAAGCCAATGTCATTTTCTGTAAGTTAAAAGCAATGTATCATTAAAATCACAGGAAGCAATCATACAACTAACTGCATTTGGTACTGGTAAGAGAGCATCTCGAATTGTACACTCAAATTTGGCGTATTAATTGTAACAGAAGAATTAAAACATTAGAATGTGCCCCGGAGGAGGAGCAGGATGGTGAGGGGTGTAGAAATCATGTCACATGGGAAAACAGTGGAAGGGAGATGGAAGAATGAACAGAGAGTGCTCAGCATGGAAAGATAGGACGTGTCCTAACAAAAAGCCTTATTCTATGTAGCTCAAAGGGCAAAGGTAAGATCAGCAAATAAAAATTATAGAGGTTTCTACAAACAGCTAACAGGCACACAACCCCACATCAACAAGTAGTGAGCTCCACATCACAGGAGGCAATCAATCAGAGGATGTGCTCCTCCACAAAACAGAAGGGGGTGCCAAATGATCGTTAAGCTTCCTCCAACTCTAGACTTCTGATTTTCTTGAACCTCAAATACACTAGTTATTTTCAGAATTGAAACATCAATGCAAAGTCTAATTAACAAATTAAGAAAACCACAAGTGACCCACCACTGGATTTTTCAGATGGTAGACATCTATCGCCCCCATTCATGGAATGGAAAGAGAGCTACTACCTTCACTCTGTTAACATACCACACACACAGTGACCCAACTTCTGTTGGAATATATTTTAGAGGCAAGGACTGCTTGCTGAGAACTGCATTCTCACCCTCAACCCTTGAACATGAACTGTACACACAATTTCCAAACCCATTCCCATCTCATGATGTGACACTTAGTTCCTGAACACATGAAGAACAAAGCCGCAGGCTTAACCCCAAAGAATCCATCCTCGTGTTTTCTTTCATCTTAAGTCAATGAAACTGAATTTCACAAATTCATGCATTTTTTAAGAGACCTATTGCCCCATCCATCATCTATTACACTTAGAAAATATTGAACTGTGACAGAGATTGGCAGAGCAAACGGTAAAACTTACTCAGCCACATTCCACAGAACTGGAATTCACAAAAACAGCCGTGGGTATCACCAGGATGGCTCTGTGCCGGCCGCAGGCCTCCTGAATGCCAGGTGGGAGTCATTTTGCATGGCTGGCACCTTAGGTCTCAGAGCTGAGTCGGGAACCCAGGTAGGCCAGGGCCTTCTCTAATATGACCAGCACTGATACAATGTCCTGGGGGTGCCCAAGTGCAATGAATTCTCCCCCTAGGCAGGACATGTATTCGTGGCACCCCAAGCAAATCGGGGTCACTTTAAGCCATCTGAGCAAAGACGCTCAACAAGGAGCCGGGGCTGAAAGCACATCTCCTGACTCCAAAGCCTGCACTCTTTCCTCTCCAGCGTCCTGCTCAAGCGGCTGCACTTCCACAGCGAAACAGCCCTGCCAGCCCTGGAGCAGACCGGTTCCAGACCCCGCTTCCCGGCCGCAGGGGGCAGCCCCGAACTGTTGCATCACTCGCAACCGTTCTGGAGCCAAGGGTGGTAGGAGAGGAAGCCAGCGATTATGACGACTGACTTTATCTGTAACGAATAAAAATACATTAAAGGAGAAAGGATCCCTGTCCAGGCAATGAAGCGTGACAGTGGGTCTGTTAAACTTTCACTCCAGAAGGCACTGCTGCTGAGAGCAATGAATTCTGACCATCTCTGCCAGGAAAACTCCTCAGTGGGACCTACGGCTGTTTTGGACACAAACTGGTGTAAAAGAAATTCTCTTGCGAGCTTCTATAAAAGTTAAAAATAGCCAAAGGCCTTTGCGGAATCAGTAAATCCCAACTTGTAAAAGCAATGCACTAATTCAGAAGTAACTCTAATTTACTCCTTCTCTACACACTGCTTTAGATCATCAAAAATTCAAAATTCCAGAATTGCCTGAATTCACCCTCGAGCCACCACATCACAGTCACAAGCTCTCATGAGTTCAGAGCAATTTATGAGGAAAAGGGAAGAGATTCAAAGTGCCCTTCTCACTGTCAGGCAGCCGCTCCCCAGGCTGTCACAGGCTTTCAGGCTCGGCACAGGAGTGCAGGCGGTGTAGAGGGCAGGGGGCTGGGGGAGAGGTCCCTCCAGGGCAGACGAGGGTCTGAGACCTTGCTCATGGCACCCGCCCCCCTCCCGCCTCACTGTGCCCCTCCCCAGATGGAAGAGGGGAAGGGGGCTGGCGGAGGCTGTGCGAGGTAAGATTTCCTCCTCACTGCCTCAGCGCCTCCACTCTACTCTTCTCTACGCCCTCACCCTGCAGCGCCAACACCTAACTGTGAGGGGAAGGCAGGGAGGAAGGAAGAAAGAGAGCGTGATGTGAAGTCAGGATCTCACCAGCACACCAGAGAAATCAGTCCTAAGGAGAGAACAAACAAGGTCGGAAAGTGCAGTCAGCGGTCAGGGGCCTCTTGGCAGGAGTTAGAAAGGCAGGCCTTGTGCTCACCTGGCCGCCGAATGGCTCCTTCTTGGTCGAGCTCTGAGCCTGAGAGGGACCCTGGGCAGGCGACAACCTTGAGGGGCTCTTCTTACTCTGAGGCAGCAGAGAGGACAGGAAACCCACTCGAGGCGACTGGGACAGGGAAGTGTTCCTTTGGCTGCACACCATGGCTCTGGACAAGCAGACACATAAGGTCACAGGGCTGAAGGGGGACCCGAGGGAACCCAAAGCACAGGCCTCCTGGGCTCCGGATGGCACCAGGTTCATGGCCCGGCGTTCAGGCGGCATTATCCTTGGGACGGTTTCCTGTACCCAAGGGAGCCGGCAACCTCTCTGGCACAACGGTGAGGCCCGCAGTGCTCTGAGGGCCCAGCAGGGCTCGGAGCTGTGCTGTCCACTAGCCCCCGGCTACACGGGCCACTGAGGCCCTGAAATGCGGTCAGTCCCAAGTGCGATGTGCTGGAGAGCAGCACACACGCTGGAATTCAAGCCTTAGCATGAAAATGGTGCAAAATATCTCCCGAATTCTTTGTTTCTATTCATCCCACGCTGAAATGATATTGTGGACATATCGGGCTAAATAAAATATGTCATAAAATTAACTGCACCTATCTGTTTTTACTTAGTTGAAGTACAAATTTTTTTTTTTTAAGATTTCATTTATTCATTTGAGACACAGAAATACAGAGAGAGAGAGCATGAGCAGGGGGAGAGGCAGAGGGAGAAGCAGGCTCTCCACCGAGCCAGGAGCCCAATGTGGGGCTCGATCCCAGGACCCTGGGATCATGACCTGAGCTGAAGGCAGATGCTTAACCATCTGAGCCACCCAGGCACCCGAAGTACAAATTTTTAAGGGATGTTTCTGGCTTGCCCTTGATTTCCACCCAACCGGGCTAGCTGAGATACTAGGGCACTTTCACCCAGTACAGCACTTGGCCACGTGTAGGTTTGGAATCTGCCTGCCTGGCTTTGCATCCTGACTCACCAGCTGTGTGACCACTCTGTGCCTCGGGTTCTTCAACTGCTACATTATTCTCATCACCTGGGGCCTCTACTTTAACTGGCTATATTTTAAGGTTGCCTCTCTTCCCCTCTGCCTACCGCTTCAAACCCTCGGACGGGAGCGAGCTTCCACCACAGATTGCATCCAACCTGTTGGGTGCCAACCTTTTCATCTTCGAGGCACTCCTTTACACACACACACACACACACACACACACACACACACACACACACACACACACACACTCTTCCAGAGGCTTTACAACAGCATCTGTGTTTATTTATCCAGATGTACATTTGGATGTGCGGGCCCCCTCCCTCAGGGCAGGTTCAGAGGCTAGAAGGCCTTAAAAGCCAGGGGACTTGACTCAGAAAGCTCAGGTGGGAACAGTGAGAGCCAAGGAGGCACTCTGGCAATTCCGTGTCACCAGAAATAGGGGAGTCAGGGTGAGGTGACAGGGGTCAGATGAGAGGAGGGGACCCCCCCTGCCCCCAGGCAGGCACACACTCACAGTTCCGAGTCCCCCAGGCGGTCCATGTTGGAGACATAAGGAGGCAATCTGTGCTGGACCAAGGCCTCCCCCTCCTCAGGCTGCAGCTCCTCTTTCTTCAGGCGGTGGATTTCAGCTTGCAAGGCGAAAAGCTACGTAGCGACAGAGTGAGTTAGACGGTGCTCTCACCTCATCTTCCCTCCACTAAGGAGCAGTGGGCACATCACGTCCAACACCCAACCTCACTGGCTCCAGAGGCCCCTGGGCCTAGCCTCGGGGTGCCGGCCTCACCCTCTGCTCACTGCCAAGCGGGAAAACAGGCCACTGCTAGCTGTCCCTTCACTGCACTGAGGTGAGAAGCCAACAACTGTCAGACACACAAATCCTACTTTCTTTCTTTTCATCAACTGACTTGCTTCTCCCTGAATTCATAATATATACATTTCCTCCTGAATTATATATATACATATATATACAAGCACCCAAAATGCAAACAGCTTATAGTCTTCCTTTTTCTGGAAATATGGCCTACAGTTACCTTAATTTCAACAACAGAGAAGTGCTCCTCAGACAAAGTGTAAAGGCAAATGTGGGTCCCCTGGCTCCATCGTTTTACCCAACTAGAGGCTCACGGAGCTGAGCAGAACAATGAAATTATACGTGGGTTGTTTACAACACAGATGTGGATATACAGGACCGGGGGTACGAAAGAGACATAGGAAAAGCACACAGTCTTCCTCCTCTCAAAGTTCATTACCATTGCTATGTTGTTCTTGCTACACACGGGACTTAAAATATGAACCTGACTGGGGCGCCTGGGTGGCTCAGTCGTTAGGCGTCTGCCTTCGGCTGAGGTCACGATCTCAGGGTCCTGCAATCGAGCCCCACGTCGGGCTCCCTGCTCCGAGGGGAGCCTGCTTCTCCCTCTGCCACTCCCCCTGCTTGTGCTCCCTCTCTCGCTGTCTCTGTCAAATAAATAAAATCTTAAAAAAAAAAAAAATATGAACCTGACCTCTGGTTTTCAGAGACTATTACAGCCCCCAAATCTCCATACTGACTCTCTGGTGACTCACTTGCATCTGAGATTAGTGCTTTCCTATTTTTAATCAGCCCTCCACCACCACTACCTAATTTCACACACGAAAAGCAGAAGTTCTTCCCAAGAAGCGTGTTCAGAACAAACCTTCTGGCGAAGAACTTCATTTTCTTCTTGAACCTGGTTGGTCCTCTGGCATTCCGCATCAAAGTTCAGGATCACGGGAACTGGTGCACAAAGTTAAAGAAAAAGCCTGCCTGCGCAATGCTTAAAAGCCCTTCCCAAACTCTTGACACAGCAGCAAAACCCTTAAACATGAGTCACAGGGAGCAGAGGACAGACTTGGTCCTGCAGCCTCTCCACAGCTGTATGGAGTCTCTCCCTAGAGCTGGGTCTGGCCTTCCTCCAGACACTCGCACCAATTTAGCTGGTCAGCGCACAGAGAGGACGTGAATCTAAACCTGAGCGTTTTCTCCCAAACACTGGCAGTAAGGAGCTCACATTCACTGGGCTTTGCAGCCAGTGCAAGCCGGAGCAAGGTCAGTGCAGCCACTGAGAAGGAATCCCAGGGGCCGGCTGGTCTACCATCTGGGCAGAAGGCTCAGCCACTTGGCTTGCCCCTCCCCAGACCGAGCCTCTTCCTAGCAAAGGTGTAGACTGAGGAGAGAGCTTTCTGCAGACTGGACAGTCCCATGTCATGCTATGAATATCCACGTTCTAGGTCAGGGTGTCAACCTTTCCCACCACCTTAAACAGCTTCAGTCAAGAGGAGTACAAAGGGCCTCAGTCCTGGGGAAGTGAACTGTGGCTCAAATGTGTGACCTAGTTTGCAGGGCACTGTCATGCAATGAAAAGACCTTCAGTGACATTTCTAATTTCCCTAGAGGGCCCATATGGTCATGTCATAACCAATGGCCTAAGCCCCCTGCTAGTTTAGCCTGAAAGCCCTCAGGATAAAAAGCAGTAGGGGATTTTATACCTGGCAAGGGTGGAATTCGCACTCAGACCCACAGCACAAATGGGGCACCCTTCCTACCCCCACCAGCTGTCCCTCCCAGAGGCCAAAATGGCCACCTGTGGGTAGGCCTCTACAACACCCCATTTATCAGTGACTCACCAGGCAGCTCCCTCCAAACCAGGTTCTCTTCTCCTCCTCTAGAATTCCAGCCTAAAGAGCATGAGCATTAGGGGATGTCTTGCGCCTCAAGAAGGCAGGCTTTCTAAGATAAAATGGTAAACATGGTGGACTACAAATTATTTACATTCTCCCTCTCTTAAATATCCATACACTTTTTCTTAAAGGTGCTCTGTTTTCTAGCAAGTTGAGGAACACTGAGGTCACTGCCAGGGAGTGACCCAAACGGGAACACAGGAAGGAAGTTCTAGCCCAAGAAGTATTCTGACCTGCTACCTGATCTCAACAAAGGCAAGTAATACCCTCAGGGGCACAGGGCTTGCACAGACAGGGTATTCTCAAGGCTGGTCAGTGGTACTGAGCAGCAGCTGCCTACCAACCCCTGCACCTACTCAGCCGTATCTGAGGGCTCCTGGCAGAGCCAGGCATCGTACCCCCTCTGCTACGACTGTCCCTGCTCATGCATGTCAGCTCTTACTTCAGCAGTGGCACAACGAAGACTTATGATTTCCTGGCCTGCTGACAAAAATAACCACAATCTGTCCAGCCCCCTCACGTAACACATGACAACGATGCTTGGGCATTTTGTAGAACAAACAAATGCATCAAGAGCAGCGGCCACTGATCATGTTGTCTGGAAGCCCCAGACCAGGCCCACAGCCCTAGGCGGCTGAGAGGATATGCATGCACTGAAACAGGACACTCAGGAAGTTGTGCAGGGACACAATGAAGGTATCGGCCCACTGTCGAGAGAAGTAGGTAGCAAAGGTGGGGTTGGTGTCTGGGGATGGCAGGAAGGGCAGGACAAACCAATCCTTCCACTCAGCCTGGTTCTGGAGCTCTGTGGCCTGCTTTGCAAAGAACTCTTGAGCTTTGTCATTTCGGTTTGTCTGCCAAGACAAAGAGGACATAGCAAGAAGGGGTAAGAGACAGAAGTCCAGAATTAAGATTTGTCATTACTGCACAAAAGAGAGCCTCTGGATATCAGCCTGCCAGGTAAGTAGCCAAATATAATCTACAAACGCCACAAAGGACATCACTTTTCTCAAGTTCCTTGTAATTTCCAAGAAGTTGGTTTAAACTGAAGCCCTGAAGATAAATGCCATCCTAAAAATTAATTCCTAGTTGATTTTCAAATAATCTAAGTGACTTATTCCCCCAGGTGAGCTATAATCTATTACTCAAACTTTCGCCCAGCTACTTATATCCTCTGAAACACCACCCAGGCTTATGTGCTTAAAACAAGAGAGGAAACAGGAATGAGGAAGACAAGTCAGCTGATCTACAGATGAGAAGGGGGAAAAAAAGTAGGAAAAGAGTCAAAAATAATTTGCACTGTGACTGTTCCACCCTTTCCCAAAGGAACACAGAGAGTTCTCCCTAGAAATTAAAAGAAAATCTATTTCGGGGTCAAAGAACTCTCTCCAAGGAATCCCTGAAGGAACAAGCACCTGGATGGTGTAGACGAGATAAAAGCGGAACAGGCTGGTTTTCAGCTTGTTGATGGTGGGTCTATATATATCTTCCAAGCGGCTGAAGAGCCGCCGTTCCAGGTAGCTCCAATAATCCCGAAGGGCAGCCAAGTCATACACCTGCATTAACTGCTGCAGCTGGTCCACAATCTTGTCCACCTGGTGGAGAATGATGGGATGGAGAAGGTGGTGAAGGACAAGAGGGAACTTTCCCATCACTTCACAGAGCTAATACAGTTTTTTCCTCTTGCTGTGGCTTCTGAATGTTAGAGGTGGTTGTTTTTTTTTTTTTTAATTAGCAATCTATAAAACATTCAAAACATAGTAATGTAATAGCTTTTGAGTTATTTTCTGATGTTAGATATGTGGTTTGACCCCCTAGCAAGCATGGAAATTTCAAGCGTAAAAGCACAGAGCAGGAGACCTGAGTCTAGGTCTTGAATCAGTGTCTGGCTTACTCAAGCAACTTGACAATGTTACTTTGACTCTTTGGTCTCCGATGCCTAAGATTTCAGAAAACAAAACAGAGAGACAACCTCCATCATCCTCCTCCCAGCTCCACCATTCCAGGAGTTCTAGACTCACGGAGATACACGGACTGACTCCTTCAAGTCAGGGAAGCTCCACCAAAGCCCTGGCAGCTGCTCAGACTGTCAGCCAAAGAAGACACCTCTGTGTGAGAAATCACACCGGAGGACACAGTCTGGAAAAGGTTTTAGATGCCAACCCAACACCCCCATCTTACAGAGCACGACACTGCGGCTTGGACAGCTGGAATCATTTGCTTTTGCCACTGAGTACCGCTAACTTTGGCAAGACAAGAACCCAGGTCTCCTAACTTCCCCAGGGTTCTTGCTAGCTCACTGCCTCTCTCAGTTCACCTGTCAACACCAATTAGGACTCAGCAAACAAACAAATCACACACATATACATTCCAAGAACTTCTCAAGAGAAAGTCATGTCTGAGCAGGGGAAATATAATGTTTTAAAATGTACAAGGTCTTCCTCAACTGCGGAGACAAAACTGCCAGTAAGTCACCCACAATGCCATTTTAAACAAACACCAGAAGATACCTGAACTCAGCTAACTAACATTTTGGGCTGCAGATGCCTTTGCTCTCAATGCTAACTTCTGAATATTTCTGTTGCCCAAACTTAACTATCTACCCAACCTTAGCTCCTAAAACCCTTATCTCCATCCTGGCCAGATGACCAGCATCTGCTTGGAGGCTGAAGTGGATGGAGGACAGACACCTGGACCAGGACTCAGGGCACCTGGGCTCCAGCCTCAGCGATGCTCCTGACTCGCTGGGAAACTTCAGGCAAGTCACGTCCCCTCCTGAGGACCTCAGTTCCTCCTGTGTCAAGCGAGGGCCAGACGCGCTGATGTCAACAGTCGCCCCCGGCGCGGTGACAGCGCCGCTCCCGCCCTGGAGGGCATGGTGGGGGGGAGCCCGCTCCGGTCTCCCTCGGGGCCGCCTCTGCCCGCACCGCGCCCGCCGGCCCCTCACCCGGAACCCTTTCTCCTTGTCCGCCTTGATCTCGGCGTCCAGCTGCCGCAGCGTGTGTGTGAAGCCGCGGAAGAGCAGGTACTCCCGGACCAGCTCGTCAGTGCGCTCCACGGCCTCCGCCATCGCTGCGCCAGCGCCGTGAGCGGTCGCGGCACGCGACGGACGGAGGGGCGGGGCCTGGGCCGCGCAGGGCGGGGCGGGGGCGGGGCCGGGAGCCGGCGCCAATCACGTCACGCCGCGGCCCGCCTACCCGCCCGCACGCATCGCGCGCGGCGCGCCTGCGGCCCCGCCTCAAGCCCCGCCCCCAGCCCTGCCTAGCCGCTTCCGTCAGCAGCCTCCGGGAAGAGCGACTGGACCACCCGTTGCTCGCCTGGGTTTGCAGGCGTCCCTGGCGCCGGCTTTGTGATCTGAGTTAACTGAAAGTGGCGGCTGCCGTCCAAGTCAAGTAGGGTTGGACCTTGGAGAACATCCCAGATAGTCACGAGGCGGGCAGGGGTGAGGTGCCCTGCTCATTGGCATTCCATAGCGGATTCCTCTGTGCCGTGTCCTCGTTTTACAAATAAGGGAACCAGGAGTCCGAAGGTAAAGTGACTTAAGTGCAGTCACTCAACCAGGTGTGTCAATCAGGGAGTTCTAGAGAAAAGCCTTGCTTTCATTAGTAAGACTAATCAACTACATGGCAAGATAACCAAGATAAAAGGAAAAAGCAAATTTCAGAACAGCCTGTATACTACGGTCCAAGTTTCTTGTTTAAAAAAAAAAAAAGGTATACGTGTATATGTTTGTGTGTACATTTTAAAACTTAAGGAAGATTATACTCTCACCGCTTGTTTTAAGAGGTGAAACTATGAGGTACTTTCACTTCCTATTTTTTACTTTTGTTTGAAATATTTATAAACTAGTTTTATGTATTTTTTAAGCAGGGAAATAGCCAGTATCTTTGAGCCTTCCATTTCTCCTCTGTAAAACAGTGACAATGATACCTACCTTAGAGAGTAATGAAAATTTAATAAGATAATGTATCTAAAACACTTAGCATAATGAATAGCCCATCATTAAAATGCAGTAGTCATTCCCTTCTTCTTTCTAATGGTATGGCTTTCTGTGTTTATCAAAGTACAACTCAGAATCATTACTGCCACTTTGTCCAGACCCTCCCACCCAAGTATATGGAAACTTAACTCCAAAGGGGCTCTGATCTGCACCAGAGAGTCCCGAAAAGATAACAGGGAGCAAGCCACAGCAAGACAAGTTTCACCCTCTGCCTGCTTTAGCTGTCTTCACAGGTGTCAGCATCCCCCAGGCAACCAGCCTTGACCCACAGGGCACGGAAGGAAAGTCACCTCTGTGCTGGGAGGACCAGACCAAAGTCCTACTTTGACTGGTATCTCAGATGATCAAAGGAGAGCTTGGGAAATCCCAAAAAGGAGCAACCGCTAAGACCTTTGCCAACAGGAATGTTGCTAATTAGATTCTCCTAAGGTACCTGCAGTGCTCAGCCACTGGAGCAACACATGAAGGAGGCTCCACGCGTTTGTGCTAACGTCGCCTCAGAAAGGCTCTCTGCCATCGTGTACAAAAGAGCAGTACTCTCATCTCCAGAATTCTTATCCCCCTTGCCCTGCTGTATCTTTCTCCACAGCACTTCTCACGGTCTGACAAACTAGATATCTTCTTTATTCTCTGTCTCCCCTCTACACTAAAATATAAGCTGCATGAAAGCAGAGATTTTTGTCTGGATTGTTTGCTGCTATATCCTCAGAACCTAGAACAGTGTCTGCCTTATAGGAGATGCCCAATAAGTATTTGTTGAATTGTATGAATGAGGGCAATTTCAGTGAGGGCCCAGGCACCTTCAAGCAGGATCGCCCTGCTAGAGGGAATATAAACTCTTGGATCACTCCCATGTATAGGCTCCATGGGCTTCTGACCAACCGGTTCCCTGTCCAGAGCATTCCTTCTTCCCTTCTTCTCTCCATACCATTTTGCTCACTCTTTAAAGATCTTTGGAGACATTCAGCTGAGTTGTCTTTATGTAACTGGAGAAGGCACTAGATTCTCCAGCTCATTAATTAGCTCCAGTTAGGTGATCTGATTACTCTTTTACTGCTTATGGCTGCTATGAAAGTAGCCTGGGGTTCCTTTGAGAAGGTGCTGTCAGGGGCCTGCAGCAGTCCCATTACACAAAGAAAATTATGCGGGCACCCACAAGGTGAACCACAAATTATCTTTCCTTCCAATCCAATCATCTCTCTTTGCCTTTGAGTTGGGAGAGAAGGGAGAACAACAAACATGGTGATGGGGGGGAGGAACAGTAAACATTTAATGAGCACCTACTTGATGCCAGGCAGTGTGCTAGGTGTCAGGGACACGATAATAAGTGAGACCAGGGTCTCTGCCCTCAGAACTAGCTCCTGGGGGGTTGGAGAAGCCAGACAACTGAAACACACACACACACACACAGTCTCTGCCCTCAGAACTAGCTCCCGGGGGGTTGGAGAAGCCAGACAACTGAAACACACACACACACACACACACACACACACACACACACACACACACTCTGGCTGCAGAATGGAGGCTGGCTGGGATGGGGACAGGGCTAGAAGGAGGATGGAGGCCAGACAGGAGACCATAGCATTCCCGGCAAGGGATGAGACTAGACCAGTAGCAGTGGGGATCAAGAGCTGGGGGAGGAGTTGAGAATTCCCGAAAAGTGCAATCAGCTGGGTTTGGTGACTGACTGGCGAAGGTGAGTAAGGAGCAGGGGTCATCAGTGACTGGCAGGTTCTGGCTTGGGAATCTGGGTGGATGATAGTGCCATTCGTGGGCAGAGAGAACTCAGGAAGAGGAGACTGTGGGACTTCCTGACACACTGGTTTTGGTGGCAGCTAAGAGACCCAGAAACGGGAAATAATACGAGGTCCCAGAGCGTGGCTGTCCCGCCTCCCTCCCCTGGAGGCTTCAGCTATTACGCTCCTCCTCGGGGAGTCAGCCTGAGGGTTCTCTCTCGCCCTCTCCCTCTGCCCTGCCCCCATCTCGCTTGTGCATGCGCTCATGCTCTCTCTGGCTCTCTCAAAATAAATAAATATTTTTTAAAAGATTTTTTTTCCTTATTTTAGAAATAGAAAACTGAAGTTCAGGAAGACCAAAGAATTTATTCAGTGTCTCAAATTTACGTTTCTGATTCCAAGTCTGCCAGCACTCTGCCAAGAGCTTCACAGCAGCATCATTGAATCAGTCAACTTGTGAGACAGGTCACTTGGGTGAATGACGGTCAATTATCCCTTGTCCCTCCTCCTGAAGAGTTTTAGAACTCAGCCTAACCACACAGGCTCTCTTTGGTAGCTGGAGCATTCTTCCTGGGGAATGGATCAATCCATTTAATCCATTCAACCATGGGTAGTCAAAGATAGCAGGTCAGAGATGCAAGAGGACCTGGAGCTATCCCAAGTTCTGGGGGTACCCTAGGATGTTGCCTTCTGCCCTTCTAATCCTGATGCTCTGGGATGCCCTTTGTGTACCCCACAATTTCTGAGATTCCTTTTCACCCAACCCTTTGCCTGACTCTGCTCATGGTTGTTAACTTGAACTCCTATTGTCCTTTTAGACTCGGTCTACTTATCCCTGGCCCTTACCCAACCGGTAGCACTGGGTGTTCTCTCTGTTCCCATGGCGTAGCACCCTGTATGTGCTTATTGCATTGCTTTGTAACCATCTGTCTGTCTTCTGTCCTTGGTTGTAAACTCCTGAGAACAGACAGTGTGTCTTGCTGAACCTAGTGTCTCCAGTGATTGAGCATGGTCCTTTGAAAGTAGGTGCTCAATAGCTGTTTGTCGAATTAATGAGGAAATAAAGTCCATGTGACTGTACCGCTTGGAACTTCAGGTTATATGTGCAATACGGAGCATCCGTTGCCAAGGTCAAGGGCAAAGGAATCTTTTCTACCTGTGGTCAGTGCCATAAAAACTATGAGGGCTTCTGAAAAGTGACCCATGTAGCAATTCACAGGTTCCTTACTGATGCCCCTCAACCTTGCCTTAGAAGGCAGCCTGTTTGCACGTTAGTGTTTAACTCACTGAAAATTCATAACATACATATTAAAATAAATGCCCTCCCCACCTATCAAAATTCCATTTTTAAAAAATATATTGTCCACTATTGATAAAAATAAAATGAAAGAGGTATTCTCATGAGCTACTTTTCCAGGAATTAATTTATAAATGACCAAGCCCCCCAGAATGTTCTTACTCTTGAACCCAATGATTCTACTTCTAAAATTCCCCTTAAATAATAAAAAATGACAGGATTCGTGTCCAATAGGGTTGTTTGTAAGAGTAGGAGTTATTTGTAACAACGAACGTTATTTACAGTAATGGAGGTTGTAAGTACTTGGAGCTACAGTGACATAACCCCCAACAACTGAATGAGGAAATTGCATTTCCCACTGAGTGTCAAATAGCAAAACCCACTCAAATGATCGGATGCCAAAGATGCAAAGTCCATGGAAAGAGAGAAAAGCTACTAGGCTCACAGGACTTGATTGAAGGGCATCAACTCACAAAATAAATATGCGGTCAGTCAGAAGAGGTTTTAAACACAGAAATCCAGAGAGGGACCGTGGGCAGAACCCATCGAAGCCCTCATGCCCAGCTCGGCCAGCAGATGATGTCCTGTGGTCTGTCCTCTGTCCTTCTTAAGACAAGAAGGAGGCTGTAGACCACCCCCAACTGGGCCATTAAGGCACCCCACACCCCTTTTCCTGGTTCTAAGTTCGCCAAGGGACCATCTGATGCTCCCGGCACTTGACTACATGAAGATATGTGGCACTGTGCTGTCTTTCTCCTGGCAAACTAAAAGGGAATTTCTGATTCCGATAGCCTTCCAACGGAGATGGAAGGGGATGTCGTTTATGTCAGTGCTCCCATGAACCCTCCCTGTCCGTGTGACCGTTGTATTTCTCATTAAACAATGAAACACGTGACACCATGATGTCTCCCTCGGGGCCCCTATACAGCCAAGTTACCACGAATCCATCCTTCAGAGCCTGCTCACCCCCGGTCACGGCAAGAACCAGCTCCAGC